TCTGTGAATAATGGTAACTTGTACCAATACATACGAAATTACTTTTTATCATGTTTTATTGAAGAAGACAAACGACAGTGAATTACTCTCACTACATTTTTTGTAAAGTTCAGGGCTATTTTTATCAGTTTCATTGGGAAAAAATGAAATCCTTTAATCTCACTACATTTCACGTAAAATTTTCAGGGACATTTTTTCAACAATCCAAGCCAATCTATAGAACTAAATTCCCCTTCTGACCACATCAAATCGTAAAATGTCACCCTTAAAATCCGTATAGGCACTGAGGATGAAAGATAATGACATTTCAAACCGTTTTACGTGGTCTATAATCTAGACCTAGAATCACAAAGGAAAATGCATTTACTTTCTTGCCAAGTTGAATATAGTCATGACAGAGTAGTTCGAAGTAACTCTTATTCGACTAATGCGATTTTACGGAATACCAATCAACATACTGACTGTATTCCCTGCAGTAGATCACGGATTACAGGTAAATGTGGTAAAGATACGGTGGCAGATCCGGGATTTCTTCTAGCGGAGGGGGGGGGGGACATGATTTATAGAAAAAATCTCTGACAAGCCAGCAAGGAAACAAAAAAGAGGGGGTCCTTACACTTACCAGGTGCCCTTTTAGTTTGTATAAATGTCCTGCTGGGGCAGAATTAGAGGGCACATTTTTTTTAACTTAATGTGTAGCTAAGAAGAGTCAGAATATGTTTTGCCAGGGGCGCCACTGTAGTTGATTTTAATATCAAAAAAGCTAAGTCAATTATGGAATATTTAAAATGATAATGGGAAATTGTGAATTTCACTTGTATTTTTAAGATAGAGAGAGAGAGAGAGCGAGAGACCGAAGGCCTAATTACGGTGGTCCAAATCTCTTCACTTGTTCCTAACAGAATCAAAACACGAAATTGCTGCAAAATAAATTCACAAGAGTTTATTCTTGAATCGTTGTGAAAAATGAAAATCTACATCATGGTCATGATTCATCATTAAGAAAATATATATTCACAGACGCTTGAGGGCGTTTATCTACTTTCCATGTCGACTTGATCCCATAAGAGCGGATCGGGTCTGCCAAAACAAAACAAAATACATAAAAATGTATCCGTTACTTCAGTCTGTTCTCTGTATAAGATTTTCCAGAGCAGTAGCATCCATCAAAAGATCTTCTTTTTTTTATTTCCTTATCTGCTTTCAAAAGAATTAGTCACTTCCCTCTTGAAGTTTAATGCTTCTTGTAAGAGCAGCTATCGTATCTCAAGAGCTTGCCGAGGATTTTGGGAGAGGGTCGGAAAAAAGAAGAGTTTGGGGGTCATAATTATTAGGGATCATTTCGTCTAGAGTGGATCGACGCTCAACAGGAGTGAAATCTACTCTTAAGATAGTAATTCAACCACTACTTTGAAGTGGATTTCATTATACTAATGGTTGAGTCAATCAAAATAATGTAGACTCCGTCATAATAAGTAGATATTTTTTAATCTCATATTTGAACAAGAAAAGTGATCAATGTAGGTTATGATAGGCGATCTTTGCATATCTGGGCCCCATTTCACACAACTTGTCATCGATGACAATATAGATTTTGTTATTAGCTAGTGAAATCATTGCTTCGGATCGGCTATCAGCAGATTTGTCACTGTTTTTTTTTTTCTTCATTTTTTATGGAAAAAAGGCTTTGAGAAACTAAATACCCCCACCCCCTGTAAAATTGACATTAACATATCATAATGACAAAATATCTGGCAGTTTCGAAAATGAGTAAAATAGCAAGAAGTCATTTCGATCTAAACACCTTCATACTATGGTCTCAGTTTGTATAAACCACCTACAACTCGTTTGCTCTAAATTACATGCAAATTCTGAGCGTCAACAAACAAACAAAAGAAACAGCTCAAATTCGCGGGGGTCATGGGCACGTATTGAAAAGAGAATTGTCATATTTTGCTGACAAGCAATGGGGCGTAACTATTTATATGATGCTGCATTGTTGTATTCGCTAGGTCATGGGAAATGAGAAATATTTTAGTGGCGAAGCCAGAAAATGATAACATGGGGGATCCCTCTTGAACAATGATTCATAATTTTACAATGCAAAGCGCTTGGAGGCGAAGTATTAAACGCTATACAACATGTGATTATTATGAACGGAAGGCGTAAAGTACCAGGACAGGGCCCTTCGAGTAGACACACACACTTATTAAAAGGGACTTGGTAACATTGTTCAGATGAGAGAAAATGGTGCTAAGGTGTTGACTTCAATGCTAGATGTACAATTAAAGATAATCTGAAAGTTTGAGTGAAAACAGACCATTATTAATAATAAAAAATGAGAAAAATTGATCTGATCGATTCCTTAATTCTCCTAACTGTATTGTTAAAATTTGATTACATTTTAGGTGAATGTAAATCGTCACAAAGCTATGAATTGGCTTTATATACCATTCCAAACATTTAAGTGTTAAAAGATTTTTTAAAGCCGGTCTTATGTCTTATTTTAAAGGAAAAATGGTTGGACATTTCAAAATTGGTTGGGAGAATTTACTGTTAGAGGGTGTTGACCAGTGACGCCTTCAAAGAAAACCATAAAGATCTTTGTGGTTTGAGATTTTGTTTCAAGATTTTGTGCATGCTAGAGGGTTAGTACAGTAGAAGGAATATAATAAGTAACATTTCATACAAAAGTTATGCAGTTTTTTCATCAACCTTCAACAATGTTACAGAGTCACTTTAAGTTGTCTTGGCCTTAGTTCAAGCATGGTGCATGGGGCGTATCCCGACTCCATCTTGTGCATTGCCACTGAAAGACTGCCAGTTGTTCTCGGATAGTGATTTTTGTTTTAAATTATATGAATATTATGAATAACAATATTATGGTTCTATGAAAGTTCTATGAAAGTTCTATGAATATTAGTGACGCATCATTATGGACGCTAAGAATGTTCTATACTATTTGTTACTTGATATCGACAAAAATTCAGGGGTGGATTTATGATCGTGCGAAAGAGGGGGCTTGTAATTTTTCCTTACATTCCAGATAGCAATTTTCTTCCTTTCTATATTTTGGGAATCTTGCTGGCCATCTGTGGGCTCTCCCAGTATAGGAGGGAAGATTGGAGAAACAAGAAATGATAAAAAAGAAAGCAAAAATAAAACAAACAACCAACAAAACAATCTTTTTTTCTTACACGATCTTACGTTTCTCGCGCATCCCGCTTAGTGCCCCTGAAATTGTGAGTTTTTTTATTCTTCTCGACGATGCAATCTCGGGCGTTTAAAAGATGGGTGCAGTTAGCCATTTCGATGTAAACAGCTTCAGCTCTATAACAAGAATGATAATGTAGACTACACTTACCATTTATTTTGCGCTAATACGTGCGCAATTTTCAAGAGCAAGAAACAAACGAAAAAAGAGAAAACAAATTGCATCGGTCAGGGCCAGTATTAAATACGGAATTGTTGCATTATCGCAATCTCTTTCGGTTGTGACTATCTTGTTATTTGGCCGATCAGTGGAAAACAGATTTACGCTCTGTAGGGTATCCAGAAAATGATGAATAGTTATTATCCGTTCAATTGCTGGTAAGAAGCAAGATCATATGGGCGGTGACAATTCCTTCTGCAATTTCCTCTAAATATATTTCTTATTTATTAATGCGTTATTTTGTAGTTGCTTTCTTGATTTTCGTTTCTCACGCTGATTCATATATTTCCTTTCATTCTAAACAAACCTAATTTACAAGCAATCTAAGTACTGAAAGAGAAGGTCGAGTTCTGGTTAAAGTCAAGATGAATTTTGTGAGCTTACTCATTAATTTATATCAGTTTCGGAAGAATATCTGTAGAAATGTCTACTGAAAATCATTGCTCTTCAAATGCCGCCATGTTCGAAAAATGACAAGAAATATAGATAAAACTTTGGACCAGACATTAATTTTGTGCGTAGTCCCATTTCCTCTTCAGATCGAAGTGATTCCTAATGCGACTCCTAAGAGAAATGAATTCCAATCAAGTACATTTGGATGAAAAAACCTATGAAAAACTTAATGTTTGCAGTGTAAGAAACGTCTGTGTTGGAATGAAAAGTAGTATTGTCGTAAAAACTTAATTTGGACCTCCCTTTGTATTCAAACAAGTCTTTACTACATTGATACAACCGTTTCCAAGAACAGCCAAGTTTTTGATGGATATGGTAACCGGGAACGGTATCTGATCCTATAGAAAAACCGGAGGTTAGGAAAAATGGAGCCAAATTATTTATTGTGATAGAATGCTGGATACCCTAAAAACCAGTGCAATAGGATGTTTCTTTTATATCTACCTGCATAATACAGTTTATGCAGAATAAACTGCAGATTAATAATTCTACATAGAAACTGGCCTTGAACAGACAAATACAATGATTTTTTTTTTAAAGGAAAGTAGAAAATCAAATGTTTGCAGTATGTGGCGATTTCGGGATTCGATCTAGCCGCAGACAAGTCAAACAAATGGGATAAGCAAAATAAACATAGAACAAAAAGAGTGTGTTTTTTTCCCAAAGATTCACTGACAAGAGAAAGGAAATATTATTACACTTTCAGATGCCTTTTGGGGTCTGAAATTGCTATCGGGGGCTCCGCTATATAGAGGGCACATTTGCAATACATGTATGTGAAAATGTCGTGGTATAGTGGTTCATTCACTTGGCACTCGATTCAAAGGTTGAGGGTTCGGATTCCAGCTCAGCACTAATGTCCTTTGGCAAGACATTAATCAACATCTGCCACTCACTACCCAGGTGTATAACCAGGCAATTGCTGAGGTAATAATAATTACAGGGCCCTCCGGAAGAGCATGCAGTATTTAATAAGAATACTCATATCAGTGGCTACCCTGGGTAATAAGACCAAATTAGTATCAATAGTTATTTTTATCAAATGATAAACCTCATGTGTACTTAAAACTAAAAGAACAAGGAAAATGAACAAATAGAAAAGAGCGTTTCTCACCTCTGTCTCCTTCTCCTTCGTTAAGAGACGAGAGAGTCTCTTCCTTTTCAGGCTTCGCTTCAGATGTTTCTGCCATTTTTCCGTCCAAGTATAGTGAACACAAACTTTGTTGAAAATATGTATCTTTGTATATACCAAACGCAGCTCGACCAGCCAACAGGAAAGACACACCTTGTTTTGTTTTGTTCTCACTTGTGTTTCCCTGTCAATTTCACTATTTCAGCGTATATGAATCACGATCTGTGATAATTTCTGAGTATTGCTTAGCGCCACTGTGCGCCACACAACGAAAGTTTGCCGAGAATGACGAATAACAAAATAATCACTACCTTTGAACCCCCTATAATGGAACAAAACTACTGATGCATCCTTGTTCACTTGGTAATAAAGCTGTACCTATCCTCGACAGGAGCATGTCGCCTGTATACTTAGAATTGCGTGAATGCATATATGTTCAGCATTCATAATACACGTACTTATCAAAGGCAAATGTATTTTTTTTTGGAAAACTCAATAATAATAAAAGTATTATGAGGGGTTGTGTGTCCGGTCACTCATAACAAAAAAAATCTTGCCACATCTGTCTTTGGATTTAACGAAACAGATGCATCAAATAGCACAAACCATCAGTTATATTTGTCCTTCGTAGTAATGTTCAACAAAATTCTAAAAAAAAGGTTAAGAGATATTGCATGTAAACTTCTTCAAATTCGTCAACACTGTCTGGATAACCTAAATAAACAGACACATGACACGAAGTGAGTGCTATCAATGCGCTCTCCCGTCTGAATAACAAACCAAATAATCACTACCTTTGAACCCATGAATGGAACAAAACTACTGGTGCATCCTTGTATTTTGAACTCTCTCTCTCAACAACAAAAAATAATTATATAGCATTCGATGAAATTGAAGTCGATCCTGGTGTGACGGACGTTGAAAAAACATGACATGGCTCATGCTTTAGAAATTTAACGTTTCCTTGAATCAATCCGCTGAATCATTCTAATTCAATCTCTTCTAGACAATCAAATGTTTTGTTCAAAAACTTCTGTACTTCCTTCTGTCATGACGTGTGTAATAAAATCCATCGCAATCTAAGTTTATTGGAACTTTGGTAGGATCGTAACCTACTAGGAGTCGTAGCAGGCATAAAGCAATTGAAACAAATATATCGTGTTACGTTTATGCGAAAGGTGATTTTTTTTTTTTTTTTTTTTTTTTTTTGGTTCTCCCCCTTAATCACAGAGACTGAATGAAGTAAAAGCGTGAAAACTAACAGAAACAACAGTGAACACACCTTTGGAACGAGTTCAAAGGCTACCGCCGCAGTGTCGTATACAGTTTTGCTTCAAAGTAAAGAAACTACTATCGCGCGCTTTCCAGAATGATGACAGGGATAACAATATGCATGCACGTAGGCCTATAATTTCACGATGAATTAACTTTTAATATCATCCATCATTAATTCTATTCGCCTTGATCCTGTTATTGAAACAAAATACCTTTGTCATTTAATGGGTGATCTTGGATGCGGGTTGTACAAGGACCGTGAACACTTTAGTTAGAACACGACTTTGAGGGTAATGAAATTAATGACTACTGCCTATAAAAAATGTTTTCTTATTTTTGTATTTCATGCGGATTTTGGATAGATTTTTAAATGCCGATGTTAATTCTTTTCCGTCATTTCTGTTTTATATTGAGATTTGCCATTACTCAATACATAATTATTGTTAAAATGTCTCAATGAGCAAGAGCGATGTGCTACTGTTTAAAGGCAGTTCCTACCATTGTTAATTCAGGAAAACTCATCTTTGGAAGCGCATAGAGATGTTATTTCATAACGTATTATGCGCTATACAAGAACTGAACTATTAATATTATTATTAATGTCTATGTATATTACTCAGAATACTATAACAAAGCGTCGTAATATTACTCCGACTTTAGCTGAGCCGCCTTGAATGCTAACTTAAAAGGAATTCCTCCTTATCAGACTGGGTGGAGAGTAGCATGTGTAGATAAATGTCTTGCCAAACCATGTCTGGCAGGACTCGAACCGCGAACCATGCCATCCGCAGTCCTGTGACGTTTCCACTGGGTCACGACACCTCTTTGAACATTTCCTTTTACTACACACTGTATATGCGCATACTGCCACTTTATGAAAGTGTTCCAATTCTGTGACTGTGGACGAACTATGTGTAACATTGTGTGACATTAGACTATGTAACACTCTGTAACACCGTGTACATTTTAGAACGCTTTGTAGATTTATCTTGTTATACTTTATGGTACTATATTACACTGTGTGGTTCTGTATAACACGTTTGTGGCACTGTATAAAGATATGTGGTTCTGTAAAACACTTTGTTGCTATTTACAACATTTTGTGGTTCTGCATAATAAGAATAATCTGGATTTATAAAGCGCTCAATACGAACTACCGTCTCTAAGCGCTTTACAGATCCACACGATGCTACCCCGATCATCGGATTCATTCACGCACACAGGTGCGTACGCAGGGGGGGGGGGGTTAAACCCCCCCCCCCCCCTTTGGTATTTTTATGTGTATAAATCCCCCTAAAACCCCCCCCCCCCCTTTTTTTTTTTTTTTTTTTTTTAATAAAAAAATAAATAAAAAAAATATTCCCATGGCTGACCTAAAAAAGGTGACCTTACCCCCCCCCCCCAACGGAGCAAAATGTCAAATTTTCAAATTTCGAGACCAAAAAAAAAGAAAAAAAAGTGTCCTCTTACTCCCCCCCCCCCCCCCCCCGATTTAAAAATGTTAAACCCCCCCCCCCCCCCCCCCTTGAAAAAATCCTGCGTACGCGCCTGCACGCACAATATGCACCATCTCCATTCCCTGGGAGTATTCCTACCATATGGTCACCCATGAGGGCATATTGCAATTACTAACACAAAGGCTTTCGTCATCCTACCAGGTCCCCATTTCTCTCTAGGGCATGGAGTGGCAAATATAGATTAGTGCATTGCCAAAGAACATTTGACATATAACAGTTCTGTACAACACATTGTGATTGTGGCACTGTATAACACTTCTTGGTTCTTCTTTATAACATAGTGTGGTTCTGTACAGGGTGTTCCTGAAAATGCTTTAAAAAGTTCAAAGGTCAAATATTTCAAAACTACACGATATCATAACTTAAATGTTTTTAAAAGATTTACAGAGCAACTCTTCAACTTTTTAATTTTCCACTTTGTTTGAATCATCAGTTCTTTGTCGCGTATTTCCGAGTTTGGTGCTCTGCGAGATGATAGATAAAAACCCTTCTTTTAAATAATTTTCTTCACTCTTGTTTAACATGTAAGACATGAAATTGTGTGGTTTTTGAGATAGTTGAAAATTGAGATTGGGTTACCTTTTGGGGAACACCCTGTGAAACACTGTACGACACCTGCATAACTCTGTATTACACTTTGTAACACTCATGAGTCATGACACGATTTTTCTCTAACTGATTCATAGATTAGTTGAACCTTATCGCTACATTTGTTTTTCTTTGGTGATTAAAAGACGAGTGTGTCCGTGATATAGTATCTCAGTTTTATGTCACAAAATTTACAATGGTATTTTACAGCCATCCAATAAGAAGACATTACTTAGTTTGTGTGTTATCGGCCATGCACGTGGGCTCACAATCACGTGTATTAGTTTTATGATTTCTTTAAATATACATGTAGTTTATAACCTCACGCCCACCACAGATGTATTTATGGATATATGGCCTTTACCTCTCACCGTAACCATTAAAGCCGTTCTAAAGTGTTGGGAGCCACAACAATTTGATGGCAAAATTTCTCTTAAATTGATAATAATGTGAAAGAGGATGTCATTTAAGACACATTTATTTCTGCAAGTATTTTCAAAACAAATGTGTTTGACGTCAAATATTGATGGAAGTAAACAAAACCCAAATTTTGTATTCTTTTATCAATATTTGTCTATAAACACTTTTTTTTTGGGGGGGGGGATCTTTGCAGAAATGTCTTAAATGACATCCTCTTTCACATTATGATACAATTTAAGTGAAATTTAACCATCACAATTTTGGCGAATATGGGGCTAGAGGGGCTCGTTTCTATTAAACACATAGGTGCCGGAAGCGGGGAGAGGGGGCAGATGCACTCACGACATATTCCAGTTCAATAATTTCGCGCACCCACCCCCCCCCCCCTTTCTAAAATAGTTTAATTTGTTTTAAAGTAAACGTCACGTGGTGACAAAGGAAATTAACAGGAGAGAAAGACTGAGGATGAGTTGAAACGAAAGAAAACAAAAATAGACTAAACATAGGAGCACTAGAGAGGTAAAAAGGAGAAGACTGTGTTAAAACAAACAAAGGAAAAGATGATCATTGCCAAAAAATTAAATATTAGCGATTTCACAAGAGAAAGAGGGACGTTTGAAAAAAATATTGTCAATCATTATAGAAGAGGCTGATGTAGTAACTCTTGTCGGTTTATCAATCATGGACAAGACATAATTTGAATATATTGCACTTAAGAATGCATTTACAGCATTACATGAATATTTTAAAATATGAGTATTGAAATCACCAAATACATAAACTTGTTCATTTTCAGCTTTCACTTTTAATTTTCAAACAATTTTTAAAGTCCCCAATAAATTCTTAAGATTAGATTTTGGTTTTCTGTAAATGATTCCTACAATAAAATGTTTACATTTTGGCAACAATATTTCAATAAAGGGCGACTCATTGTTTTGATCTTGGTGAAAAGATCTCCTATTGTTTTAAGAAAATTGACATATTGACATCAACATTTTGGAAGTTATTAGAAAATTCATCTGCTAAATAATATTTACAATTTATAAGGTTTTCTGGTACAAAATAGTTTTCGTCATCATCATCATGGAACAAACTTTGTACAGCATTGATTTCACTGAGTATCTCAAAGTTTGGAGTAAATTCGTCATTTTGAAATGTTTCACAGAAATCATTATCATCCAACATGAAAACAAATTGCCATTGTTCCAACCTACCAATAGCGCGAATGATTCATGAAGACATGAGCCAAGTCAACCACATAGTGACATGGCAGACGTAATTTAATCAATGGTTATTTACGGATGTTTCATTATTAGTGTTGAAATGCCTGAAAAGTGTCAAACACAGGACATCATGAGTGCTGTGACCTCCACCCCGCCTACAATGGTTATTTAAGTACGATTCATTATTTATTGTCGAAATACCTGAAAAGTTACCGAGTGTCAAACACTGGACATCACTTGGTGCTATGACCTCCCCCCCCCCCCCCCCCCCCCCCCCTCAGCATTTAGAACTCACAAAGTGAAAGGTTATTTAAATTAAGAATTGAACAACGTTTTTCATTGATTACATTGGTACACATTTAACCACCACAAAACATTTGTTCGTCAGTTATTTGTAGGCAGCACCGGGGAAACATTGTCTTCTCTCCCTCATTAAGCGCAGGAGTTGCCAAATAAAGGGATTAAATTGTCAGAAAGTAATGCCTCGAGATAGGAAGATTGTTGGGGAAACAAGAAAAGTAGCTTTTGAATTATACAATGCAAATTAAAATTCAGAAGTCGAAACTTACAAAGGTGGAATGCAGCCATCCCCTTCTCACCCCACTCAAAACAAAAAATCTCTCTCTCTCCTACCCTTCTCTCTCGCTTCGCTTCTCCTCTCCCTTTCTCTCTCTTCTCTGCCTCCTCTCCTCTACACCCCCTCCTCTGTCTCCATCTCCTCCCCTGTCGTCTGCTCTCCTCCCCTGTCGTCTGCTCTCCTCTCCCATATCTCTCTCTCTCTCTAATTCTTCTTCTCATCCTCTCCTGTCCTCTACCCCCCCCCCCCCTTTCCTCATACTCTCTCTCTCTCTCTCTCTTCTACTCTCCCATCCCCTCTCTTTGCTCTGTCCCTCACCCCTCCCTCCCTCTCTCTCTCTCTCTCTCTCTCTCTCTTTCTCTCCCTCCTCTCTCCTTCTAGCTTGACCTCTCCTTCTCTTTCTTCATTTAATACATTGTGAAAACAGTTCCGTCAATAGGCAAAGACAATAAAATAATATACTAAATGTACATCAACTTTCTTTCTTGTATCTTTATATATATATTAGATATCTATAATTTGTTCACATATTGGCAGTAACTGCATAACCATTCGAGTCAATTACATAAAGATATACATACATGAGTCAAGTACGGAGATCATTCTTTTAATATGACCCTGATTTCTTTGAACTCTTTTTGAACTCAAAATGAAAATAAATGAGGTACACTTTGGATCATTTTTGGGAATGAGGTCTCTGGTGAATTACACAGCAAAAGTCAAGCGCTTGGGACATTTAGAAAAGTGATAAAAAGTTATTTAAAAAAAACATTAGGTAGAATATGTCCCCCCCCCCCCCCCCTCCAACAAAAAAGGGGGGAACATGGTGATCCCTTGAGATTTTTTTTTTTAATTTTTCAAAACAGAAAAAAGAAAACAGAACACGCTGTATTAAAATTAAAAAAACAACACACATATAAAATAGGATATAAGTGCCAAATTTCTCTCTTAACACATTAAATGACACTTTAGTCTAGACAGAAAATTTGTATATTTATAAACTTTCAGCTATTTTTATGCAGAGCTCAGATGATATTATTTGTTTTCTTCAAAAATGTTACACTCAACACATCCATAAAATTTAATGTCTAAAGCATTAAAAAGAAGTAATTAAATACTTTGCAATGATGCTCAAGACACGCACACGTCCTCCACGACCCGAACCTACAAAATTACCCTGATGTTGTACAAAATTTTAATCAACTTTTTTGTTTACAGTGATGGAGAAGACTGGCCCCCCCCCCCCCCACACACACACACATTACCCGTCATATTTTAAAGAGAAAGTTCACAAAGGTTCTTTAACCCCATCAATAGATGCAATGTTGTATCCGTTGTCTGTTTGAGCTATGGCAGCCAGCCTATTACTATAATGCAGTGTACTTGTTTGTATATATTGATATTGGTCATAATTTTTCTCTCCGATGATGTAATTTGTTTTCTTCAAAAATGTTACACTAAACACATCCATAAATTTAATGTCAAAAGCATTAAAAAGAAGTAATTAAATACTTTGCAATGATGCTCAAGACACGCACACATCCTCCACGACCCGAACCTACAAAATTACCCTGATGTTGTACAAAATTTTAATAAACTTTTTTGTTTACAGTGACGGAGAAGACTGCCCCCCCCCCCCCACACACACACATTACCCGTCATATTTTAAAGAGAAAGTTCACAAAGGTTCTTTAACCCCATCAATAGATGCAATGTTGTATGAAAAATAGTTACATTTCTTGTTTGAAAAAAAAAGTCTATACATTTTTAAATATATATACATCAATAACAAAAATTACTATTTAAACATTGCCAATGTGGCTCACGTATATATCAACTTCGTTCATAAAGAGAAAGAACTTTGCATATATCTCGGAATGTAACAAAAATATACAAGTTAAAATTCAATGTCATATAAAGTAAACAATGGATTATATTTCCCAGTCTCAACAGACTGTAAAAAAAAAATACTTTGTTGGCCAATATTCCCTCTATTCATGTCTTGTTAGAGAAAAAATATAATTTGTTCACTTCTGATAACACCTTTTGTGTTTAATACGGTACATTGATCTTCTATTGACATGGGAATAAGAAATTACAGCCAGACTATAAAAGTATTCGTTGTATGTACAAATTATGTGGTGAGAACCAGATACCATATACTGAATTTTCTCTTTGTGGGAATTTTGATCATATCTTTATTGCTCTTGTTTTGTACTGTTTTGGTTTTGCAGTAGTTCTTCAGACACTGGTCTATCTCGATAAACGGAATGCGAATCGACAAGGCTAGTGGGCTACTAATTATGGGGGAGGATGTGGGATGTGGACCAGACATCTTTTCCCCTTCGATCTTTCCCTTTCTCTATATTCTCACTTTTTTATTTCTTTTTCTTCCTTCAGCCCCCATGACCCCCCTGTATGTACATATCGCTATGCCACTGACCTAACCCCTCGTCTCTCGGATAGGACTTCAAGCTGAAGATATCATGGTTGCCTAACAAGCATAAACTTGTATTTTTTGCCATTTCTAATCAATGCATACTAAACTTAAAGCCTGTCTGCACTAGTTTGGCCAGAGGGATTAGACCTCCCTGCAAGGTCACTGACAGGTGGTTATCTCAACAACTCAGCTCTCAATCAACATAAGAAAAAGGGGATCATAGGGGACGAACAGGCACCGATTAGGCATTATTTGCTATATAGAGGGGGCAAGTAGCTATAAGTAGTGCAGTGGGGCTTGATTACCTCAGTGATTAGAGGAAAGGTCTTGTGCAAGGCATTCACCCTCATTAACACAATCTGTGAGTCCCTCGGATAGGACTTCAAGCTGGAGGTACCCTTATTCTGTTTTATGTTAGGCCAGGGTTTGTGAAGTTAACTTCCTACTCGATAACTATATTTAACAGTGCACTTCTCAAGTTATTTCGGTAATGAAAAGTGAGACAGATGGACAGATGAACAGATGGATAGATAGAGGACTGATGTATGACATAACAAAATAATGCCTCAGGCTCCAGGGTGGCGGAGGCATAAAAATACAGGGTTTTTTCTACATCTGTTAAAGGAATAGTCCTCAAATATTGCTGGTCAATTGCAAATTTTAAAGAGCCATAAAAAAAAGACATAAAAATACAGGGGGTTTTGCTAAATCTATTAAAGGAATAGACCTCAAATATTGCTGGTCATTTGCAAATTTTAAAAAGCCATAAAAAAGAGGCATACAAATACAGGGGTTATGTAACAATTATTCAAGGAAAAGTTTTCAAATTTTGCTAATCGTTTGCTGGTCAAATTTAATAGAGCCACTTGGATGCTGGTAGGGGTCAAGCCTAAGCGATTATAGGGGCGCTTATGCTAGAAGCAAAATCCCTGGAGTTTTGCCGAATGTTGCTAGGCCAGTACCCATAAATGAAACCAAAAACCAGAATTGAAATAATTCACCTCAGGAGTGTGGTTTTTTTCAAATTCCATCCGAAACTCCACCTGTTTTTGCAGTTTAAATTCACCATGGAAGGGGAAAAGGGTAAATTGCATAGGGCTCATGTATACAAAACTCTGAACTCTGGATCCTCTTTCAAAAAATTTTAGTGCGGAGCCTCGCTCACAAGGATACATATGCTTTCTTAGCAGTCTTGGTATAAAAAAAATAAACAAACCATCACATGAAATATATCTATTAAAGCCCGTCTGTACAAGTTTGGCCAAGGGGGATTAGACCTCCCTGCAAGGTCACTGATGGGTGGTTATCTCTTCAAATCAGCTCTCAATTAACATAAGAAAAAGAGGATCATGGGGGACCAACTGGTACCGATTAGGCATTGTTTGCTTTATAGATGTGGCTATGGCGCAAGTAGCTATAAGCAGTACAGTCGGGCTTGAAATGATTATAAACCTGGAATCAAGTTTCTTCTTCTTCTCCTGCTGGCTTGTTCTTTCCATGGATAGGTCTGGTCAGGTATCTATTCCTGCGTGTTTTCTTCGGCATCTCTTCTTCCCGGGCCACCTTGAGATAACCTGGTCAGAGAAGGAGATTGGAAAGTCAAAGAGTGTCATATAAATGATTTGTTGGATATTTATGAAAGATTAGCATAAAGGGCACCAAATACCCCTGAAGTAGTGTGTAAAACCACCACATGAAGCTCATGTATTTAAGACATTCAAAGATTAAATATCAAATTTTGAATATAGTAGGCGTACATGTATACTAGTATGGAACAAGTTTATGTGCACGCTTTATAAGTAAGCCTATAAAACTTGAGGTTTATTTGTCAGCAATAATGACTGACAAAACAATCTTGAAATTAAATTATTTTTACATCAGATAACAAGGATCTAGGAGTGTTGCTGTAAAAGAAACAAATGATGCATGTTTTCATTGGTTTATTACAGGATTTATCTGCTCTCGTCAAGGCTGTTTATACACCTATCGTACTCAGCCCAACTTTGTAGAACAGATGCATACAGCCTAAACTCAAGTGCGAAAAGAAATCATATAATTAACTCATTTGCACGCAGTAGTAGTAGTAGTAGTATTACAAGTAATAGTAGTAGCAGTAGTAGTAGTAGTAGAGTAGTTGTAGAAGAAGTAGTAGAAGTAATAATAGTAGTAGAAGTAGTAGTGGAAGTGGTGGTGGTGGTGGTGGTGGTGGTGGTAGTGGTGGTGGTGGTGGTAGTGGTGGTGGTGGTGGTGGTGGTGGTAGTGGTGGTGGTGGTGGTGGTGGTGGTAGTGGTGGTGGTGGTGGTAGTGGTGGTGGTGGTGGTGGTGGTGGTAGTGGTAGTGGTAGTAGCAGTAGGGGTAGTAGTATTAATATCAATATCACCAGGCTTAAAACTATAGTCATTTTTTTTTTAATTCTTCTAGCCTTCTTACCTCTTTCTACACAAGTTTCAGTATCAGGAAAGCCTATAGACCAGAAGTGCTCTGGGGTGTTGGGTCGTTCGAAATGGCCTCGATGTCTGGAACAGTTCTTAGTCCTCTGAGCTATCTCTTCACTGGTAAGACCAAGTCCTTCATAGTACTACATATAAATACAAGAAAAGGAGCAATTACCTTGAGGGCAATGCAACACTCTTGTGGCATGATCAATAGACCAGGGGGTGTTTCACCAAACTTGTCATCAGTGACAAATGACAGTTGTTGTTATAAGCTACCGAAATCCTTGCTTCTGATTGGTTATCAGCAGATTTGTCACTGATATTTGTCATCTGTCATTGAAAAAAGGCTTTGTGAAACGGGTCCCAGATCACTAAAATATATTTATTCAAATTGTATGCATACTTAATTACAATGGTTGTTCTTGACAACCTGAAAGTTTGCCCGGGAATTGCCTGACATAGCAACAAGTAATGTATGCCAACTAGATTCCAAGTATTGTAGTTCATTCATTAATAACAGGTTAATGGAATAACTTGTTGATAGGTCCCCAGGAAAGAAACATCCATAAATTTGAATATGTTAGTAAATCCAGAAAAAACAATTAAGTGAAAGTTTGACTGACCATAAGAGATGAAAGAAAATCAAAGATGTCAGTTTGACTGACGATGTGAAGAGGAATTTGAATATGTTAGTCATTCCAGAAAATTTGTGTAAGTTTGACTGACTGAAAAGATAAGAGGAATCATTGAGATAATCAGTTCTTACATGTATATTGAGGATATTCTTAATTCATCTAAAATGTACTGGAGATATACATGTAGGGGTCTACATCACGCTTTAAGTTCACATGGTGTTTGCATTCACACGGTGTCTGTTTCATAGCTATGCTTGTATCAAATGACCATTTATAAACAGTTGTATTATTTTTCAAGGAAATAAAAAAATCTTATAAGCATGAGAGTAACATATCAAATTCAGAGCAGTACAAATAAATACCATCTGATCTTGTAATCTTTGTAATCTTTGTCATGCAAGAAAAATAAAAACATCTAGGCACGACTAAACGCTTTCAACCATGGGGGAATTAAAGAAGATTTCAGGAATTTTTGTATGGACCAGAAAACAAATTAATCTTGCCGATTTTTCCATTCACTTGAAATCTCCAACACAAATTACATAGAACTATCACACATAACATAATACAGTCAAACCTGTCTACAGCGACCGCCCAAGGGAAACAAAAAATTTGCTTGTTGTAGAGAGGTGGTCTTTGTAGACAGGTGATCACTTAAGCAGGTTTGACTGTATATAAGTTTTTTTTTTAATCATATTGGTTTACGAATTCTCCACCAACTGGAAAATGTCAAACATAGTAATGTTGATATTTTTGGTTTTGCTTTGCTTTGCTTTCCAACAACTGAATGTCCTCTGCAGTATAGAAACGACTGTAAAATGGTTTCAAAATCTAATTTTGATCTCATTTTTTCATTTAAAAAAATTGTTATAATTTCTTTTGAACCACGTTATTTAACATTCTAATCTAGATTATTTGTTTCACAAATTTCCTTGATTAAAATAAGGTTTCCCTTTTCATTTACGGTATCACAATCATACAGTTCTTACCTACATAACAATACATATCAAAAATTGAGAATATACATCACTATCTAAAGATAGAGGGGTCAGTTTTGAACTTAGAGTCCCTTGAAAACTGACTCCAAGTCTAAACAATAACATCAGTTCCAACAATCTTCCTCCCGGCTCCCTCCACATGAAAGCAATGACCTGACCTTAAGCACATAAAGATTGGTACTGGATATACTTCCTATCTTCAAACAAATATCATCCCTAATAGCCCTGCATTGTTAATAATAAAATATGACCTGCACTGTTCCCCTTTTCTACTTTTATAAACTTTTTATGTAGTATCTACATGTATACCATTGTATATACTATTACTTCCTTTATTACTAATCATGATGTTGATAAAGTAATATTGAAACAAAAAACTTCCTCAAACTTGATATATCACTATCAATGAAAACATTTCCGTAAGTTATCCCTTTACAGGTATGGAACATGTTTAAACAAAAATTAAATTCAAAATACAGCACAGTCAGACAGTGGCACTTGGCCATCTGCAATTATTTAATCCTTATCTAAAAGGTCCTGGAAAATACATTAGGAAATATGAGGTACCCGGTGAGTTACTTTCCAGGAGGCATTTTTCCTTTTCCAGTGATAAGAAGGCTTAAAGTCAGTTTTAAAAGATATCCACTGTCATACACCAAACAAAGACAATTTATCAAACAGTTTTGACAGCATAGCACTGGTCATCATCCATTCTTATCTGCCAGAACAAACATTCTTGGAAAAATATTTCTCCAAATCGCACTCTTGGAGGAATTTTCCCTCTCAAGTGGTATCAAATGGTCTTTATGATGTAGAAGTTAAAAACTGTGTTCACATGTGACTGACATGGTTTTAAACTTTAAAGGAAACCAAAACTTTCATACTAAGTTACTTTTATTGTAAAGTTTAAAAGATTTGAATAAAATCAGTGAAAATTTGAACAAAATCGGGCAAGGAATAAGAAAGTTAGAGCATTTTGAAATGACTAGTCACTAGAGGGCGGTATTCAATTTGATGACATCATCTGTGAACAACTCTCCATGCCTTTTGTACATAAAATTTCACAATTTTTTTGTTTTCTTCGTATTTATTTGTGTTCTTGATCCGACTTCATAACATGTGAAGTAGAATATCATTTTGCATTCTATATCTTGCTTTCAGGGGAGTACATTACCTCTATAACAAGAGAGAAGGAAAAACATGAAATTTAATGTACAAAAGGCATGAAGAGTTGTCCACAGATGATGTCATCAAATTGAATACCGCCCTCTAGTGACTAGTCATTTCAAAAAGCTCTTACTTCCTTATTCCTTGCCCGATTTTGTTCAAATTTTCACTGATATTTTTCAAATATCTTAAACTTTACAATAAAAGTAACTTAGTATGAAGGTTTTGGTTTCCTTTAAGATTGCGTAACCTCGTAGTTACAAAAAAAACAATCCACTAACAACGACAATAGAAGCCATGCATATTCCAGTTTAAACTACAAGTTGGTTAAGTATTCATTCAAACTACAAGTCAGTCAAGTATTCATTTAAACTACAAATCGGTCAAGTATTCAAGTCTTAAACTACAAGTTGGTCAAGTATTCAAGTCTTAAACTACAAGTTGGTCAAGTATTCATTCAAACTACAAGTCGGTCAAGTATTCATTCAAACTACAAATCGGTCAAGTATTCAAGTCTTAAACTACAAGTTGGTCAAGTATTCATTCAAACTACAAGTCGGTCAAGTATTCATTCAAACTACAACCCGGCAAAAACTTCAAAGTTAATTGTGTTCACACTTTAATAACCTGGGGGATGTTTCACAAATATCCTAAGTTGAACATATCTCTAAGTTGGACTTAACAATTATGTAAAGCCATTAGCATCTTTGAAATTATTTTGTATAAGTTATTTTATAAAGCGTAAAATGTTGATTCAAATCATTCATATTTTCTATTATCAAGGAAATTTTATGTTCTCGATGTGGAATTTTTGAAAAGTCTAAAATACTTCAATTTTTGCTTCTGAATATATTTTATTTTAATTAAGGCTACAAAAGGCTCTCCATAATATTCAAGTCCAAATTAGAGTCAAATAAGAGTCAAGTTCAACTTAGGATCTTTGTGAAACAGCCCCTAGAAATGCATCATCATCATGGTCCCTACATGTAACTACATACATAACTTCAAAGTTTAAAACCTTGGACTAAACTTAAGGTTAACAAATTGCCGTATGAACCTAAACTAAAGTCAGTTTCAACAAGGAGTTGGGTTTTAAGATGTATCCACGCTCCCTGCACTGACATGAAATCAGTTTTTTTGTAAACATGTCTAAGAATTTAACAATGACCCCAGACATTTATGTATTCTTATCATAGAACCTATCACATGAACGCGTCCACTAACGTGAGATCTTAATTGGTGATCTGATCCATCATTATCATTAATCCAGTAAACACACATCAAACGATCAGACATGACCCTGGATTTGACATTTTTCTGGCAATGTCTGTTTCTTTTCAATGACATTCCAACTATTAAAGTACTACTGTAAATAGCAAACGTCCTTACTCTTGAAAGAGATTGTATGGCTTTATATACATTGTAGATACATTGTTGATTGTTCAGTCAATGTCTTTGGATAGTCATGTAAGTATACAAGTACATTATCCCGCTCTCCCAACAACAACAACAAAAATATAAATTGTGGCATTGACCCATATATACTCACTCCTAATGCTAGCATTTTCCTGTACTTATTCCAATTGTATGTGGGTTTAAAGCTATAACCCCACCCACCCCCCCCCCCTTATTCTCTCTCTCTCTCTCTCTCTCTCTCTCTCTCTCTCTTCTTGCTTTCCTCCTCCTCCCCCTTCTTCTTCTTAATATTATCATTATTTGTAGTAGCAATAGTAGTAGTAGTAGTTTTAGCAGTTAAAGTAGTAGTTTTAGTAGTTAAAGTAGTAGTAGTAGACTAGTAGTAGTAGTAGTAGTAGTAGTAGTAGTAGTAGTAGTAGTAGCAGTAGTAGCAGCAGCAGTAGTATTATCATTATTATTATTATCATTAGATTGCTTTCTGTCTCCCTCTTTCTTCTCTCTCTCTCTCTCTCTCTCTTGCTTATTTAATTTCAAATTGCTTTGAATTTTAAGAGAAGTGCATGTCAATACTCTCACTATTCTACTATAGCTATTTAAATGTTACATGCATTGTATATCAAAGTGGAAATGAACAGGATGCAACAAAGTTCATTTGAAATCACTGTAACCTAGCCGCTACTGTACAAAGTGCATGGCTTCTTTAAAATGCTACATTTCATGGTCATTTGTAAGATAATATCCATCAAGTATCTACTGTCAAACTTTAACAAACAGTCTTAGCACGCTAGCATTCTATTCACTCAGACTCAGTAGTATTTAAAGGAGAGGTGGGGGGGGGGGGCAATTTTCAACTCCTGACAGATTTCTAACCAAGAAAAAGAATGCAGCCACTTGTATACTAGTCAGCAGCAGGTCAGGGAATAATTGTCAGTCAAGAAATGCATAAAATGTAGACATTCTTAGTTACATTCTTAGTTACATTTTTTTTTCTTCCCAGAATAAGCCAAATTGGGTGATACCCCTCCCCCCCCCCCCCCCCCTGTAACGCAAACCAGGGCCCTAAAAAAGTGGTATATTGGTCATAGAAAGAGGTAGAAAGAGAAGTTTTGCCCCTCCTTAGGCAAAGTTCCGGAAATGCCCCTTCATTTTTTGTTTTGTTATTAAAGATGCCTGCTTCTTCTAGGTCTTTACCCAGTCATAAAATGAAAATAAAAAACATTATCCATCCAGAGTAGTCTTCCATAAAGTGACATTCAAGTTGTTTTTTTATTTATCAGTGTGAACATAAAACTTGAGACAGAATATCATTGTTTTGCTTAAATATCAAATTTCTTTAAATTGAGATGATACAGAGTACATATCTCGAGATCAATGTGGACAATGGCAAAGAAATTAGAGACCAGAATCCATCTCTTTTTGTTTTCCTTTATTTCTGCAACTTCTGTCAAATAGGTCAGTAGACTCTCCCTCTCCCTCTCCCTCTACTTCTCCAACAATTTACTGTGTCACCTCTAAACTAGATCCATAGTGTAAACAGGGCATTTCTCTTTACTTTGAGATTTGGGGTAAGGTGACAGGAAAAAAAGATACAGAAAGCAGGCATTTTTGTTGTTGCTTTTTTTTCTTCTTTTTTTTTGGTTGGTTGGTTGTTTATTTGTTGTGCTTTTGTGCAATTTATTGAGCCCGTCAAAACAAGGCCCTTAAGTGTGAACGAGGTTTTTACAATACCTTGAGGTATAGGGTTAGGCTACAGAAAGAGAAATAAAGTAGGCAAGATCCTTGATCTTCAGTGATATTCGCACAGAATATGTGTTACAGTATGGCACACCTGGCATTGTTTCTGCTGGTGGGCATAACAACAACAAATAGGCGGTCACCGAAAGTTTGGCAGGCCGGCCGTATGGTTTGGAATCTGCATCTTGACAATTGATTCATCACTGAAAAGAGATGATCTTAACACCCACATGATGTTGTTGTTGTTGTTGTTGGCTCTGTTTCTTTTTTCTTATACATATATGTACATGTAGGTGAAGGTGAGTTTTGAAAATTATAAAAACACTGGCATGCTACTACATAAATGCAATCCATATATTGTTTCAGACCAACAAACACAATGATGTGCAAAATATTTAAACATCTTGTCCAGATTTTGTATGGATTTTGAATTTGAGCAAACAAGGTTAAGTTTGAATCAATGATGTAGCAGGGCCAGTATTCAAGTCACATAGCCAATACATGTATACATTTACCTACCAAAGGATTAGTACACATAACTTGGTTCCAGACCAAGGCTAAGGCCAAGGCCACTAAAATATGGCTTTGCGGACACACAAACACCCATATATCAAGGTTTATCATAGGCCTCATTCACACATTGACATTGTGTTTATTTAACATGCCGGACAGATAGGCCAAGCATACAAATCTATGTTTACTTCTCATTTGTTTAGAATTTCATGAGAAGATGAAACATCTTCGCAGCAGCTTAGAATTGATAGTATCTCGCTATGTATCATCTAGCATCCAAGAAATCTGACAAGTTTGATCTAGAGCGCATACCAAATTGTACATGACCCTCTGAAGGTTATCTTAAGTCCTGGTATTAATGAGCTGCCTGTTGCTTGTCACGTCATAAATAAAAATCCTGGTAAAACATGATACCACTATTAATCACTTTCATACAGTGCTTTTATCATTGATAGCCCTTGTCATTGCATACGTTGAACACTCCAGTTCCAGCATAAAACCTCTGTTTGGAGGATTATAGCTAGTCATATACACCTATGCAATAGTATGCATACATTTTAAAATTAAAATAAAATAGTGTTTGCATCCGCCAGTGTTTTTATTAATACTACTATAAAGAGAAAATAGAGATGGTGAAAAAAATACACAGGGGCTCAGGGCGAATTTGCCCCCCAAAATGCCCAAAAGAGCTCCCGAAAATTGGAAAAGAGTCCTCGTAAATTTGCATAGAGTTCAATGCAAAACAAATTTTAGAGTGTTATTTTTATGCAGGCAAGCTTGAAAAGTAGCCCCCCCCCCAAAAAAAACAAAAAAAAAAAAAAAAAAAAATTTTTTTTCCCTGAATAGAGAGTAGGAATATTGATTACAAATACATGGCTGAATGATGTAGTGTAAGGGCTATACTGGGGCTTGAGCCCATGGCCTTCAATCTTTAACAGCAGCTAAGATTTCAAACCATTTATCAAAATTACACCTTTATTGGTAGTGGAACAACCGCAAGTATAATTTTAAAGAGGCATGTTCCCCGTATTCCAGAGGGCGTTCAAAATACGTACCCGCTGGCGGACGGTGCTAGCTGCCTATTGACACCAACAGAATACGGCTCTTACGCAGATGGCATGTTCCGAATGCCCGGACAATACCGATTATCGCATACATGTGCCGAAGTAATGCCAATCGCAGTTCGGCTCTAAGATTCGGCTGCTGTTTCCGCCCACTTTCGTGACGTCGCGATCGTCAGCGATCAGCTGGCTTGGCGAAGGCAGGCCAGGCCGCGCGTACTTTGATTGACAGCTGTATGCAAATTAGAAGTCGATCTTCGGAACCAAGATGGCGATGACTAGAGCAGCGATAACTCCACTGGCGGGAACGTGCCACTTTAATAATGCTGTGATGTAATAACATTTCTTGGGTAAGGATGCTGACAGGATCACATCAATATTTATGTAATGCCCCTCGAGTTCATTTCCAACCAGTGTTGCAGCAATATTTTCTCAGGAACATACTTGGAAGAAAATACCTTTCAAAGTTTTCTCTTTTATCAAAATATTGTAGAGGTGTCATATTCAAGTAGTTTAAACACTCAAACGCAGATGCAAAGGTCTTGACTTTGATTCCCAGCACAGCAATTGCATCCATAAGCAAGGTAGTTTATCTACATTAACTCGCTTCTCTCCACAAAGGTGTTAATGGTTACCTGGTATGGTACTTGTAAAGGTATTTGTAGTTTGCTCAGAATTGTGTGCATCTGTAAAATTGTGTCTGGCTCAAAGCTCCCCAGGGAGCGGGCGGGGGGCAAGCCTGAATCCCATGACCGGAATAATAATATACCTCTCTATCATAGATGTATTACCGTAAGCGCTATGTAATTCAGAAAGAAGTTGCATTTAAAGCTCATATTTAGAATAGTATGGGGATGCTAAACATAAAACATACAGAACAAAACAATATTTTTTAGTGATTGGTACACTTTCAACTTTTGGCTTAATATTGTGACTACTGATTTATAAAGACTAAAAGGTAAAGGTAAAAGTAAAGCAATCACCAACATATCTTTTGTTCTGTATGTTAATACATCCATTTTGTAATACTATATTCAAAATTTGAGCTTCTATCATCTGTATCTAGAGATATCACAAGTTTAAATACACTCTCAATTAACATAAAAGTGAATTGGAAGCTGACTACAGGTACTCAACACATCCATATGCGCTCGCATAAAATAGGGCCCACACAGAGCCCAAGTTCAATTTGAGTCCGGTGTCTCAGTCTTATGTTATTCTTTTTTTCCTTCACACTCCTTATCCCTTAGCCCATAGAATACTGGGTAAAGATTTTGAGGCTGATTTTATACATTCCATCTGTACACAGTTGATTTGTAAGGTAATTTTTATTTTAAAGAATGATGTATATTTATTTTAAAGAATGATGTATATTTATTTTAAAGAATAATATACCTCTATAAAGTTCTTATAGACATCATAGACGTATTAAGCACTTTGAAGTTCACAATGCAGACCTGCCAACCTCTGGAGTTCAAAAACCGTATTCGTTTGACCCAAAAGTTGTATTTTACTGACAATTTTTTTTTTTTTTTTTTTTTAATGGATCAATGCCTCTTACAGTTTCTACATACAGGAAGAATTTTTTTGTATGGATCATTGCTTGAATATGCATGATTTTGTCATGACTGTGTTCGATGAACCAATGAACATCCCCATATTGCCCATGTGAGATGCTTGTATGATACTTTACAGGAAAGTATTTACTTCTAAAAATCGTATAAAATACGATTAAATCGTACAGGTTGGCAGGTCTGAGAATGTTATCATACCAACAAATAGAAACAAACATACCCCGGCACATTCCTTGCAGTCAAATCCTTTGAGCCTCTGTCTCTCATCCCTCTTCCTCACTACATCCGTGTACTTGTAATTTGGAGCATCGTCTCTCTGAGGAAGACTGCAAGAAATATCAGTTACCATATGATCAGTACCTCTGATATCATTAGCACTAGTATGATGTCAACTAAGCAGTGGATCAAAACAATTACCACCATTATAATCTATCACGATATCAATAGATACACAAACTTCCAATAGTATTCTTAATAAATTAAGTATACAAATAATACACAGCAGTGAGGGCATTAGTAAGAATTACCCACACGAGGTACCTTTGGAACAGTCTAACACGTCTGAGGAGATAGCCGAGGGTGTTTGGACTGTTTTGAAGGTACCGGGTGCGGGTAATTTTACTAATGCTCGAACAAAATGATGTGTATTATTTGTTTTATCAGATTATGTTTTATGAAATGATGTTTTATAACACGATTTTGATAATGACCGGTCCCTATCCAAATTACGCGTTAGGCAGAATAAATGCCTGGTCACGTGTACGCTTTCAACCAATCCTTTGTTTACATGTAGGATCCACGTCATCATCTTGTTGTAATAATATTTTTGATCCAGTCATATGTTAATTTATCACTTATGTCAGATATGTCTTGCAAATATTTTGACCAAACTATATGCAAATTTTGTTACATCACTTTTAAAACATTGTATAGTAATACCAAAACTATACACATTAGTGCATGATGTAACAGTATTTAAGAATTAAAAGTAGAAAATATTCCTACAATAGTAAAACTTTGTTGTATAAAAAGTTTTGATTTGACCCATCTTCAAGACATTGCAATGTTTAGTAGAAATCTAAAAGGCAACAAGGAACATGCATTGCACAATAAGGGTCACTGTTCTGGCTAGTCTCATGCCATTTTAGTCCAACTAGAGATTTATCAAGTTTGACATATTTCTCTTACCAGTCAAATTCTCTCACAAAGGAGGAAGCCATTTCATCTATCTCTCCTGGTCGTCTTTCCGCAGGATCAGTACCAGGATCGTGGAGTGAGCCATCTTCAAACTTGGCCCTTCCATGGACAGATGTCTTAAGAATTTGGTCTTCCCTAAGACCATAACCCTCCTCAATTTCGATTCCCTGATCTTGTCTGTCTTTGTCAGGTCCCGGACAACCACCAATATCTTCATCATTGTCATCGTCATGATCGTCATCTTCAAACATGTCATCCAAGCTGTCCTCCGCAAGGAGTCTGTGTTTGCTTTCCTCCTTTTTTTCTTCCAGTTCATCATAGTTTGCCCTGGATGATTTACTGCCTCTTCGTTGATCAGTCCTAGAGTCTTTAGGAAGCACAAGGAAAGTCCTAACGTTTCCACTAGCATCTGCTCTCTTCGCTTCATTTGGCTTCCATTCTTCACCACCGTGGTCTTCATCGTCTTCATTGCCAATAAAACTGAAGCGAACAGCTGGATCGATGCTTCCATTCAAATCTCCACCATCATTGTCCTCTGGATCGTCTCTTTCCTCAACTAAAGAAGTGTATTCGTTCTCCTCCATTATTGCAACATCATCATCATCATCATTAAGATGAGGTCTCCTACAAGTAGATGATGATGAACCTTTCGATGTTCGTTCACGGTCCAGCGCCTTTGGCAGTCTCGGTACCTTGAAATCCCCATTACCCGTTCTCTCATCATGGTTCAGTCCCTTCTGCACTTCCATGGATTCCTGAATGGCTTGCTGCAGGTAGGGATCGTACTGAGAATCAACGTAGACGCGAGCCCCGCCGTTCAGGTTCTTGAGTCTCTGACCATCTTCGCTGATGACTGCTTTGAAGGAGTCTTTGGTCAACCTGGTCTGTTTCATTGACTTGGGATTATCGCAGGTAAGCAGATGTGAGCTCGTCTCAGTTGCTCTGACATTTTTGTCATTGTGATGAGTTTTCTGAGCATTTGCTGCTGCACTTGACTGTCTTTCCAAAATCTCTCCTGAACCTTCCATCTTGGTTCTGGATACCTTCCGTCTTCCATCTCTATTGCACAATTCATTCTCATCCCTCGGACTGCTAACAAAAGAAATATCGTCTTGTTTTACTGTCCTCGTCTTCTTGCTTGCAATTTCATCTCTAAATTCATCTGACAATCTTCTTTTTTTCCTCCGTTCACCCTCACTATCTGTGAGCAATTTCTTTTGAACCTCAGGGTGGACAGCTCCCTCTTTTGATGATCCTCCTGAAGATCGCACTTGTGAAGGACCTCTGGAGCTGGGATGTTGTTGCAGAATCAGGAAGGAGGCCTCCGATTGTCCACTTTCATCATAGTCAGGGGTGACTCCACGACTATTCCTCACCTGATTAGTGTCATCTGGGGTGTCCCAGACAGGATTAGATGTCTTTGATCTAGAGGATGTAATCTTAATGTTGGAATGAATGTTTTCCGGAGTTACTGGAATGTTACTGTTTGGGGTTTCATGGCTTGCGATTGCTTTTCCTGCATGGGATACTGATCTATGCCTTGAAGATGAGGACTGGGCAGCACTCTCCTGCCTACCAGGTGTGGACCTGCTTCTGGCAAAAGTTGGGGACATCTGCGTGATAGAGAAGTCAACAGACAGCTGTGATTCTGTTGGCGGAATCACGCCTTTTTGACTGCGCTTGCCACCTGAATACACGGGGGATGCTGAATCGGTCGAGAGGAATGCTTTTCTTCTTGAGGAATCACTTGATGGTGGGACTGGGAGCATAGGAGTGGACTGTTCCAAAGGAATGAAATGTCCCCCTGCATCACTTATCAATAGGTCTGACTCTTCTAGTAGAGAATCATGAGAGTATGGAATAGAGTCCATTGGTACAGTCTCAGGGACAACCACATATTGGTCTTTGGCATTCCTCTGTCTCCTTTGCTTTGAGTTCTTCCTGACCATTCTATTTGCTCTGTTACCTCTACTAAGCCCACTGCGGACACGCTCCATGTGGTGTCCTTCCTCTTCGTCTGTATCATCACCATCATCATCATTGTCACTATCCAAATCTAGAGGGATTGTTTCCGGCACAAACACACTGCTGATCCCTTGACCAGGTGGCCCGTCTTGGGATTCCCTTGTTGATGAATGACCCTTGACCTTTTGATCTTTCATGGTGTACAGTCCTCCCTCCTCCACCAGAATCATAGGCTGCATCTTGGGGTCTTGGTTCTCTCTTCCACCTCTGCTTGGTAAGAGGGTTGATAGAACAGGACTCTTTTTCTCCTCCTGAGGCAGCTCCTGATAACGAACCTTCTTCTTTTGTTTGTTTGAGGACAGTTTGCTGCACTTTCTCTCAAGTTTCTCAGGTTGTTCATCGCTGGAAACATCTAAGGGCAAGAGAAAGAGAGAGGGGTTAGCATCACATGCCTCAACACCGAAGACACTAAACGCAGTAACCTGATGCTTTATCAATGACATCAAATTTGGAAATGAAATAAAACACAATGCGGGAAAGACAACCCCACCCCCCCCCCATTCCCAATTAAGCATAATAGCATCATTTCATTGTTCTAAGAATTAAATCTTTCAGCATAACAACACTAAAGCCCAAAATAATTTGCAAATTGCAAACATCCTGAGTTGTGTCCGTAGTCTTTCATAAATTAGGCAGCACAGAACTTTCGCAAATCTGGACTACATTACAACATGTCATATGCACAAAGCTTTTGACGTCTTGATTTTCTGATCTCTCAAAATAATATTTCCCTGAGGAGCTCAAAGCAAAATAATGGGGCGGGGGGCATTTAGCAACACGTGGGGGCTATTTTGGTGGTAGTAGTAGTAGTAGTGACAGTAACAACAACGACATCAACATCAATAATAATAATTTTGTTTACCCAGGTGCTGATCAGCACCAATGCTGTTCTTCCCGAGGGACCTGCAATTATCATCACCTGGCAATTGCCAGGTACCCATTTACACCTGGGTGGAGAGTGTCAAATTTGGATTAATGTCTTGCCGGGCTGAGATTCAAACTCTGAACCCTTGGATCGGGCATCAATTGAAGGAACCACAACACCTCCAAAGTACAAGGGACAAAGTCACCCAAATATTTTAGAAAGGGGCTGGTTGGCATTGCTTATGACAATCAGTTTTTTATTTGTGAATGTATTGTGCAATTGGAAACAATAGCTAGTTCAAGTATCAACAGATAAATGTTGAGAGCTGGTAACACCAGCCGCAGTCCCTATTTAATGACAGTCCTAAATAGCCCAATCAAAATTGATTCGTTGCTGCTCAGATAATGTTATGTATCCCTTATATAATCAAAAAACGTAAGAAATGTTAGGAGCACAGAATTTGCGTGCACAAGGCTCCATGATAACAAATGAGGTTGCTATGGATGACTTGGAAAATGGTACTTTGCAATTTAAAAACCATTGAGTACATACCTTCTTTTCCCTTTGGTTTGGAGCTTGCATTGTCAGACTGTGGGCTTTGTATCTCATGTTGCCTGTACATTAGGTCAAGAAAGAAATGATGGATTATGCATATGGTGATTTTGATACACGAACATAGACATATAAATATATACGTTTTACTATTATTTAGTATTAAGTTGTTCTAAATTGGGGGGGGGGGGGTTGGGGGAGGGGCTTGAATCGAACTGACCTACAAAAATAAAATGAATAAATAACAAATTGCATTTTTAGTAATATCACAAAAATAAGACACTTTATGTGTATAGTCCTGTAAACCTTAATATGAATCGGCTGTAATGTGTGTCCGCAAATTTAATAACTTTTTCAGAAATGGTTATAAATTTTTTTCAATGTAAAATTTACAATTCATTTAGTTTCATTAAAGTGTGTCAATCACAAAAATATATAAATCTTTTACAGCTAGAAGTACGAAATCACCCTCAAAAAACTTTGCCCAGCATTTCTATGGACTAAAAGTAAAGAAACATGAATTAAAGAAAAAATAACATCAAACCAATGTACAGATCCTAGCCGAACTTGGGTTTCATGTTATCTCCTCTCTATGTCAATAGGCCATTTTCGTAATGTAACCAAATTGAATGCATACGTCTTTGTGAAGTGCCTCAATACAAATTATTTCATTCACCTAATAAGAATAATAGTATTTCAATAGACAGAATTCGAACTGCATACATTAGTTGTTGCCAGATAGGACAAACATTATGGCTTGACCTACCTAGCAACATTTAATATATGCAGTTTGCATTCTGACTATTGAAATACTATTATTCTTATCAGGTGAATGAAATAATTTGTATTGACCCACTTCACAAAGACTTATGCATTAAATTTGGTTACATTACAAAAATGGCCTATTTGTATGAAGGCATCGACAATTGATTTTCTAGGTAATATGTATCTTAAAGAATGATGTTAGGTACCTGTTGGACTTGATGGTGGCTAGTTGTAGTTTTAAATCTTGATTCTCCTGCTTACATTCTCTGTAGCGCTTCTGAGTCTGCGTAACAAATCTTGCATTTCTGATGAGAGAATGAGAAAAAGAATGAGAAAAATAATGAGAAGAATGTGAAACAGATTGAGAGAAAAAGAAAGTCAGAGTGAAAAAAAAAGTGGTAAAAAAAGAGAAAATATAAATACAAATACCAATTAAAAACACTTCCATGAACATATTTGTTTTAATGGATCTGAATCCAAGAGTACTCTATAACAATCACTAACATTACATATATAACACAAGCTATGTGATAGATGAACAAAAGAAATACTCACTCATTTGCTGTTGATTTCAGTTTTTCGTTGGACTCTATGAGACTGATCGCCTCCTTTTCTATTTCTTTGAACACTGCATGAAAGAAAGACAGCAAAAGTAAAGTAAATGAATATGGGCGGAGTCAGGAAATACAATAGAAGGAATGACTGGGAGTAGAGGAGAGGGAGTTAGGAGTGTTCATACATGAAGATGTCTGGAAGAGAGAGATGGAGAGAGAGAGAGAGAGAGAGAGAGAGAGAGGGGGAGGGAGAGGGATAAGAGATCGGGAAGAGAAAGGGAGAGAGAGAAGGACAGAGATCAAGGGGAGAAAAGATGAGAAAATAAAAGAAGATAAGGGATAGAGACAAATTTATAAATATTCTTAAAATCAAACCATACAAAACTGTACCTGCCAACATAATAGCCAATTTGTAAAATCTATTTTAAATTTCTGTATCAAGCGTCACTTATATTTTTTTCTTTATCCAGCCAATGCAAATTTTACTAGAGTTTTCTGTTTTTCTTAGACATTCCAAAAGTTTTTTAGAAAGAGAGAGAGAGTTGTAGATTTCAACAGCAGAGTCTTACTGACATGTGAAGGAAATTTAAATATATCAGATAGTTTCAAAGGCCAATGATAAGTTTTGTTAAATTACACTCTTGTTGTGCGACTTGATATTCTGTGTAACGTTTCAAAAGAGTCTTGATCTTCTTTGTTGAACATGAAGATGGGTGTGTGTCATCACTCGTCATGCTGTCTCAATGTTGAATATTCCATACCAGATGCTCCTGCAAAAGTGTAAATGAAATGTTTTAAGTAAGAAAAGAGAAAAGGTAATACTGAGCTAAACTTCTAAATTTTTAATTTGTGTCTAGCTGCAGTCTGAACATTGTTGACAACTAAAAGTGTCATATATTTTGAGTAGGGTCTATTCATCAAAATAAATATTTGTACAATATTACATTTTTTATGCATTGCTTTTATTAGAGACAAATCAAGGCCATGAAATCTTTGGGGGTTATCAGTAATTAATTTAGAACACGACATGGTTATTATGCCTTCCACCTAAGGAGAACTTGACCTGTTACTTCACAACACAGTTTTGCTTCCCAGTGACCAAAGTGTTAATAATTAAGAACTTCTTAATTGTCTGTCCACTATTGGTAATACATACTAATTCATGGTGTAATTAACTCATTATGAGTTAAATTCACATCTCATATAGTACAATGTATACTGTACACCACTTTTCGAAACTCAACAAACTTAATAATAAATCATTATGTGATCTCATTTGGACAGTAAATGACCAATTTGATTATTCTAAGATTGTGAGTTTAGTTTTCAGTTTGATTTAAATTTAGATTACTGATCATGAGATTATGATCAGTAGGCTAAATCAAAACAAAAACTCAACTCAACACAATGTTAGAAAACAATCTTAGAAGTTAGAAGAATCAAATTAGTCATTTACTGTCCGACTAGCGACTGTCACAACTTAGATCGTAGTCTACTATAGTCCACTTTATAGTTTATACACAACACAATTTCACTTTTACTTTAATAATTATGAGAATCTAAAAGCTAAAGTATCAACAATCATTATCAGTTTATCACCAACATGCAACACCATCATCAATTTATCATTTCTCATTCTCAATCTCATTCTCGTCATCATCATTCATCACACTCCCATAATTCTGATCAGGAATCTGACTCTGAAGTTATTTTTCTTAGATTATCTTACAATTTACTAACAATATTTAGGAAGCAAAATTTTGTTATAATTCAAAGTAAAACATTTTATATCATGAAAAAGAATAGATTTTTGCATGATTTATGAATTAGAATTTCTAATTCTAACGTTTAATTTAGACTAGAGATAATCCAGATCCCTATATTTATTTCCTTAAATAACATATTCGCACCAAATTGGGACGGGCTGCCTGGATTTATAACTGAAAATTTAATAGTTGTAGGTTTATGTCTTTGAGTTTGAGGGTTTAGAACTCTAGGCCTACAGCAACCACAAAAAAAAGTCAGGCCCGCAGCCGGGGGGGGGGAATTCGCAAACGTGAACATCAATGCGTGGAACAACGCAATGCAACCAAATTAAATATTGAGAAATTTGTTAACCAATCCTGCTGATGATCAGTTAATTCACAGAAATGGATGATTGTAGTATAAATTTATGTAAATACAAGCGTAAGATAATATAAAAATGAGGATACTCACTCTTCAAATACGCTTAATTAGCGATGGTTTTCCTCATATCAAATCAAACTTCGAAGTCAAATTGTATTTGCCGCTGAATAAATTGCGCAATCGCAACCTTTTAGACAAGCTAGCTATAGCTGGCGCTCATTCACTTTAATCGGTAGGCACTTTAACCTTATTATTACTTTTTGTTTAGGTCTAGACTCTATATAAGAAAATCTTTATTCAGATTGCTTAATTTAAATTGAACTTATTAATTTGTATAGAAGATATGTTTATACTGTAAAAATTGTTCCTTTTTATAATGTTGTATCCGAAAATATGAATATGAAGTAGAGTCTATTACCGTCACCTTTTCCTTTTTTATAATTTTCTCCCAAATGGCAGAATGGTATCACAATTTGTATACTTGATTGAATATGTACTATATTAGTTTTGATATTAAAGCCTCACTGTCCTACTTGTAGCTACTTGCTCCCTTTATATAGAAACTTCTCCAATCGGTGCCTGTTGGTCCCCCATGATCCTCTTTTTCTTATGTTAGTTGAGAGCTGAGTTAATGAGATAGCCACCTGTCAGTGACCTCGCTGTGTGGTCTAATCCCTTCTGGCCCAGTAGTATTGACGGTCTTTAATGAAAATATTTTGAAAATATGTCTGTGTTTATAATGTATGAGATAATGTTCTATGTTTATACTGTAAGAACAATATGTTCCGCTTTATCATTTTGTATAATTAAGAAAATCTGGATAATGGCAAAAAAGCTTTTGCGTACGCGCCTGCTCAGACAATCTAGATAAACCGATGACCAATACAAAAACCTGGATCCACAGGGGTTTAAAATAAAGGGTTTTAAATAGTCCAATATGATGCTTCCCCCATAAAAGGATAGACTCTTACATATGACAATCATGCTTTTGAAAAACAAAAGTGGAAACAAAAAGATGCTCTTCTATGAAGAGAGACATAGATATATTTATGGAAAGAGAGGCAGTGGCGAGAGAAGGGAAACAGGCAGAGGGGGGGGGGGGGGGGGGGGGGGGGGGGGGGGGGGGGGGGGGGGGGAGGATGATCATGCATAACAAATTATGATTCAAAAGCACTGTTGGAATAGAAAGAGGTTGTTGAGCCCAGCAAATGTCAACCAAAAATATTAAAATAACTGCATAACTAAAAGTGGAAATTTTTACATTTGTGGTTAAACAGATTTTGTGGTTATTTTGATATTTGCGAGTGCAATGTTTTAACATACATGTATGTGGGCTCTGCAGAGGTAACAAAGGCTTTACTTCAAACACTCATAAAAGACAGGAGAAAATGTACCAGTGTGATTTAAAACTTTTATTTTGATAGAAATGCCACCATTCCAAGAAGAAAAAAAAGAGAAACAATGATATCATACCGATAACCAGCAAAATAAAAAATAGCATGAATACATGAAGAATATAAGTCTGAAATTTAATATCATTCTGCAGTGGCATATCCAGAAATTGAGTAAAAGGTGGAATTACCCCCCTGGATGGTGCGGCCGATGGAGGGGGGGGGGTGTTGCCCCTGGCTTACAAAAATTACACCCAATTCCACCCACTGCAATTTTGAATTATTTCTCTCTGGACTTTCAAAAGGGCCAGCATACATTGAAGCGTTGACGCTGGATATGCCACTTGCCTAGTAACACGTTATCAGTTATATCATACAGTATATGAACTGTGATGTTATAAAAAGAGAACATGTATTTATAGATACATATGCTTATACTAAAATCATAAAATGAAATGTGAGCATAAAATTGTGTGTCTTGAAATAAATGTTAAAATGCAAGTCAGAATACTTGCAATGATATCATGATGACAATTTAAAAAAACATAACTGTTGAATATCCTATTTTCTCTTATATCTATCATCTGGTTTGCTATACTGCATATACACTGCATTATATAAGTGTGTATATTTACGCAACTACATGTTTGATATAAAATAAACCACAAGTTCTAAGCGACATTGAAAAACTGCTTTTTCATTATTGACGGCAGTGGTGGTAAATATAAAAATTTTAGAACAGCTTTACCATAATTATTGCTGATTATATTCAATAACTTTTCGAAACCATAAGGTTTTTCAGCCAGTAATCCAAAAATACAAAAATTGAAATGTTTCTGAAAATTTCTTTCACAAAAAAACAAAATAAAGCATCTATAATCTGACTTCAATATGATTGAAACAATGGCACATTTCAGAGGAGATTTTTAAAGTGTTGAGTTTTGCTACTAAAGCTATTATTCACAATATTCAGCTTTTATTTAGTTCTAATATGGCACTGCAGAACAATTGTACTGTATAATTCAATCTTCAGGACTGTCTGAGTAATTAAAAACTATTACAGATGATCAAAACTAATTATTTCACCATAAAGCAAGATTTAAAAAATTAAAAAATTCACATCTATCCCTTCAGATGATAATAAACATGATTAAAATAATTATCATTTCCATCAAACATGAGACATTTCATGCCATAACAATTTTTTCCTGAGTTTGCTAAATGTACATATTCATTATCATTTCATTATACAACAAGAAATCACAATTTTCTGCTAATCTGTAATAAAATGCCAAATCCAGGCTGATTTAATCAATTATTTTCATGATCACTGGCATAAAACTCAAAACCAGTGAATTTTTCAAGTTGCATGTACTTGAAAATGAACAAGTCAAGGGTAAGTTGTCCCTCACATACATGGAACCGACTAAATATGGTTTGCAGGCACAGTCAACCCCTCGTCAGGTGTGTGTGACAGAGTCTGCAATGTGAGACTAGGCTAACTGCATTTATAAGCTCTGTACTTTACCTGCTCCGGACACAACCAGACTGGCATAAAAAAGTGTCAACTTCAACAACTCCTTGAAATGCTGGAGCGCTGTAATGGCAGCTAGCCTAAACCCGAGGTAATAATATATGCGCCTCAGAATAGAATTTCTAGATAAACGGCGCTATAGGAATGCCTATTATTATTATTATCATTAACTGCAGACTAGACTGAATATATTATCCAGTTGATTGTCCTACAAGAGATTGTATCAATCCGTACTTCAGATACAAAATTGCTTCTAATGTTCATTTTTATATGCTACAATTGTTGATGTATGTGGTTCGAACGTGAAGAGTACTTTGGCAGTGGCGGGTAAAGCTATTCACATTATATGTACATGTATACTGATGTTCCTCAGCATTAAATTAAAAACATAATAATATACCCAACCACTATTGATTATAAATTCATAATACAACACCCCACCTTAATTTTTATATAGTTCAAGGACTATGTATCTGAATCTAAATCCATCACCATCAAAGAACAAATTCATGAAGTAACCTGTACCAACTCTTTATATTCCCTATAACTACAGAAAATTTGTAAATTATTATTCTATTCAATTTCAACATATCACTTTCCCAGAGTATTTTCGAACATTCAGAGCAGTTTCATACACAGTCCAATAATGGTCCAACAAAATAAATTCAACTAATGCAATATTAAAGACAAGCTCATTTGTTTGGCAAAACGATTGGATCCAATTTACACAGCTGCCAGTAAATGTGAATCTGAGTAAACATAAATACAACAAAATATGAATCTGAGAGGAGTACACAACAGATGCGATACTCAGAGCAATAATATAATACCAACTACAAAGCGTAATATGATTTCATAGCAGATATGAATATAAGTGCACTACAATAAAGAATTTGATACTAATACCTAGTGCTTTTTAACGAATTACATTTCCACAGATCCAGAATAAACAATGGAATCTTGTATGGTTAACATTTACAGCCATTCCCATTTTGTTTTAATGGTGAATTGTAAGGACCACAAGTATATACTATTATTATACACTTTATGTTTAGAAGGAAAACAATTTAACAAATAATGGTCAAGTTGTACATGTATCTTGTGGTTATTATCATAAGTTTCATAACATTAGATGTTAATAAAGAACCTTTGTATTATCTTAAAGTTTGATACTCTCTGCAAATGAACAAGTGAATTCTGGAATGCCAGTTGCCCACTTGGTGATTATTCCATGTTGAATTGTCAAGCTAATGAGAAACTATCTACATGTAAACAGCAAACAAAAGTGCCATAAATCAGAGTGAATAGGAATGATATAATCTTTCTGCCTGAAACTTTTCAACATCACTTTTCAGGCACATCAAGATACATTTAAAATACAGTTTCTTTCACACTTTCCCCTTTCTGAACAGAATTAAATAGTATCTTCCAATTTTTCCAGAGAGGTTCAGAAAGTGAAAGACATTATCAGCTCAAGAACAAGTATGAAATACAACCCTCAAGACCCTGCTAAAGTAGAAGTAATTCCTTACTGCAATGATCAATGATGAAGGCAATTGTCAATGATGAAAATGCAAAATTAGTAGTAGATGTATCTAAAATTACCCTGCTATAATTATCATGTTGGTTTTCGTTTTGCCGCCAGAGAGTACTCCTGGGGGGCATTTCACAAAACTTGTCATCAGTGACAAATGACAGTTTTTGTTATAAGCTACTGAAATCCATGCTACTGATTGGTTATCAACAGATTGGTCACTGAGTTTTGTCATTTGTTGTTGAAAAGAGGCTTTGTGAAACAGGTCCTTGGAGTTAATCTTCAGTCAAGTGCTTGATGGATTCTAAGAACGTGGCTCTCTGGGGTTTCTCGTCTGCTGGGCGGTTGTAGGGCGTCCATACAGGCTCACCAACGAACAGACGTTTGGCCTTCACATAGTTCTGCATATTTAAAGAATGAAAAATGAAATGCTAGTTTTAATTAAAAAAATACCCATTTGGATGTGGCTTAGTGTGTCTCAAAATGTCTGACAAATTCTCCAGTGACAAGTGATGCATGCTTTACTTCGCAAAAGGTATAAGGTTTGTTTGTTTGTTTGATTGATTCAATTTCTGCGTTCACATAACAAATACAAGGTTATACATTTTTACAGAAGTATTACATACATAAAAAATCATGTCTAATAATATTATACAATAACCATAAAACAAAGCATACAAACAAGTATAACAGATGTTTGTAAATTTTGTATATATTTTTCATTTAACTAAAGAACACAGGAGACCTGGCAGCCTTGTGAAAAAAAAATTAAAAGATTTAGCAACAGAACTCTCTTGGTAAAACCTAGTGTATCAAGTGGGTGCAGTGCAATTGTTGCGCTGCAATAAAGCTATTGGTTGGGTTTAGATTTTGGGTTTAGGTAAGGTATAGTGTTGGGTCAGGGTTAAAGTTAGGAATTTAATAAGTGTAAGAAATTGACCGTGTAGCAGTGTAGCAATTGTCACAAGAGCATGTGTCATACGGCTATAATAATAACAATAACAACAGCCACAATTACCCCTACTTTACCACTTCTACTGTGATAAGGCACACAAGTGTTTAAGGCATTTCTTCCTACCAGGTACCCATTTACTACACCTGGGAGGAGAGTGGCAAACATAGATTAATGTCTTGCCAAAAGGCATTTGTGCCACAGCGGGACTCGAACCACAACCATGTGATTTACAGTTCAACAACGTATCCACTAGACCGTGACACCTCTACTGCAATAAGGATGCTACCAGGGGGGGGGGGGGGGGGGGGGGGGGGGTGTTTCACAAAGATCCGAAGTCGAACTTAACTCTAAGTTGGACTTAAATATTACAGAGAGCCATTTGTAGTCTTGAAATAAAATTATTGAAAAGCAAAAATTCAAGTATTTAAAACTTTTCATAAATTCCACATCAAGAACATGAAATCTCCTTGATGATAGAAAATATCAATGATTTAAATCAACATTTTATGCCTTTAACAATAACTTTTACAAATGTTTTCAAAGATGCTAGCAGCTTTCCATAACTGTTAAGTCCAAGTTAGATAAGTTTAACTTAGGATCTTTGTGAAACACACCCCTGATGTTAACTACTCACGTTGGTGTCCAGGGTGAAGCGATGGTAGATGCCGGCTGGAAGAACAAAGAAGAGCCCCTTGGTGAACTTCATGCGGACCCAACGCTCCTTGAAATCCCTGAAGTCAAAGTAACCGCTCCCATCGAGACAGAATCGAATCTCCTCGTCCAAATGAAGATGTCTTCAAGAACTTCTTGATCTGCACAGACGTGAGAGAGAAATATGGTCAAACCTGCTTTAGTGACCACCTGTTTACAAAGACCACCCGTCTACAACAAGCACATTTTTTGTTTTTCTTGATATGGTTTCTCATTGAAACATGTACTAAGGAACCTGTCTACAAAGACCACTTTTGGCCTGAATTCACAAAGGAGGTTTAAATTTAACCCATGGTTTAAACCCTCATTTACATTTAACCCATGGTCTAAAATTAGTGCAAAATAAACATGAAACAAGTCAGAGGTCCAATATTATCCGCAGGGGCATCCAAATATATTAAAATTGTAAAGAATCACTATCCACCCAATTTTCAAAATTTCCAGAAACTTTGTATTACCTTTAAAACAAATAATATATCCAGTTTACCTTCTCTTCATAGTTAGGAAGCTTCTCTTTGGTGATGGTAATCTCATCCTCATAATTATAGCCACGGTCAGCCCTGACCTTGTTGTAAGTTGCATCATTCTCATAGTCATCAGGATTTACCTACACACATACAAAAAATAAAAGTTGAATGCAGAGGCAGCGCTAAGATTTTGTATAAGGGGTGGAGGTGAGGAGGGTGTCCAAAAGACTTGTATTGTAATTGAATTTAATGCATAAATCTGTGTTTTAAGTGCCATGTCGCAAATTATTTCATTAACCTGTTACAAATACAGGTGTAATTGTTTTCCAATACCGGTAGTCAGAATGCAAATTGCATATATAAATGTAGGACACACATAATGGCTTGTCCTACATTTACATTAAACCACGGAATGTACGCAATTCACATTCTGACTATTGAAATACAACTATTCATAACAGGTGAATGAAATAATTTGCAACGAGGCACCTTCATTAGTGCATTAATTTAATTACATTATGAAAATGGCCTATGTTCCCAAGAAATTCTGACAAGCCAAAATAGTCATCAGATTTTGGGGAATTAGGCTTGTTGACTTATCTCTGCAAAGCAAAAAAAAATATCATAAATCAGACCGAGAAATGGGGTCGAATACTGTAGGCTACATATGTGGGACTTCCAGCTACTTTCCGAGGATTCTTCAGAGTATCGCTCCACGACACCGATGTCTACCTTTCTTCCATCATTTAATTCTTTGTTTTGTCAGTCTTGTAGGGTGTCAGTCTATGAGCTGTAGGTCATGATGGCTATTCGTCTAGTGGAACCTTCTGTCAAAGTTGGTCTCAGGAGCTCAGGGAATAATTTTCCTCAAATTTTTTGATTAGCAATTTCAGCTGATGGATAAATATTTCAAATGAAATTCTGTACATTTCTATGGAAGAAAACTGCTACACAAAAGATATTTTGTATAGCAGTCATGCAAAAATGCATAGCAAATTGCGATGCGATACCAGGAAATTATTCCCTGGGAGCTGTTGGTCTACTGGGATAAAGCCCCTCAAAATTCACCCCTGGACTTTCGGCCGAAAGAACTTTGACCTTGATCATTAAGGCAAGGTTAGGGGTGCCAGTATAGGGACAAACTAGGGTTGATGGCTATGGATTAGAATGCGTACAGTCTGTATGCCAAGAAGTACAGAACAATTTCTGTGTTTGAAGTGTGTTCAGTTTCGAATATCGTCCAGATAATAAGATTTTTTTTTTTTTTTTAACATCATAATATATATTCTCTGGTCTACCTACAACTGTAGTATGAATATCAAAGTCATAGTTTGCAAACATCAGCATTCTGCCACTATCAATGCATTGTAATATACAATGTAGTCCAAGGGTCAAAATATGTAAAAGATAATCTTTTAGCTGTGTCATTACTCGTTGTTGATTGTTAACTTGATTTCATGTGACGCATTCAGACAAAGTAATCTGCATGTGCACAGAAATACTAGTAATTGTTGTATGGGGATTTCTTGAAGAAAAATAAGAGGGAATTCTTTAAATAAGAACGACATAATTTTAAACAAGAATTCCCAATGGCAATAATAGACCAAAATTGAATTCAAAAGAATATTGTAAAGACAAACATTGATCAAAATTATCATAATAATCAGAAAACATAATCGAACCATGAAAATTCAAACCTACAAATTAATACAAAATAATTTAAAGAGAAGGTTGAGTTCTTGGAAGAGGTGAAAAATAATTGGTGTGCGTTATCATTGTTCTTATGCAGCATGGAAGAACATCTGATTAAACATGTTCCCTGAAAAGCATGGCTCTTCAAATACCTGCATATTCTAAATATGACACTACAGCCTAAAAATCAGGACAGATTTTTATGCCACATGTTTATGCAGTCCATTATACATATTTTTGTGTACAGTGCTCGTAACTTTTCCAAAACTCTGTCAAATTTCTTATCATGTTTCCAGAACCTTGCAGTACACACCAATACTTACATGTATGCTAGATGATCAACCTTTTCTGATAGATTACACACTGTTTCTTTCACAATGCAATCACATGACCAGAACTCAACTTTAATCAATAATTATTTATTCACTAGCAGGACACCTGGAATCCATGGGTTCACTTCTTGAGATTGCACTCTGCATAATACGTTTGTAAACACAGTCGATGTGTAGGCCTACATTCTTGTGACCTGTCATGCAAGCCTATAATTGTACATGTACTGGTAGTTACTTGTTAATTAATGTATGGCAATAAATTGCTCGTAAATGTACATGAAAAAGGTCTGAAAGATACGTAACTCTCAATCTTCTGCCTAAATGGCACCCCCATATTATTATCAACAAAAACATGTTCATTTACACACAGGTATCCACTCAGAGAATGCAGACACATAATTACATACACGCATACGCCTACATGGTCACCCCTATTAAAAATTTACAAACTCTTTCGTAACACAAGCGTTATATCAGGGACGTGGTAGAGAAGGACTGGAATCAAGCCGCTCTCCTTTGACCCCATGCTCCAAGCCGCCGAAAAGTTATGCGCTAATCTGCAACTGTTGACCAGGTGGTGAGATAAAAGAGCGCATGAAATTTCAGGATTTAGAATTCCTACATCAGAAAATAGTATCACAGCAACTGTTCGCTGTCCCTTCCAATGATTTCTCATCCATTGTTGAATGTGTAAAGAGTAGAACAAGCGAACACAACTTGTGTAATTTCATCCTTTTTTAAACTTGAAAAATACAAAAAACACGCGAAAACACGCATTAGCAAACTTAATGTTATTGAAGATTGTAAATCATGGATCAAATAACGGGACTTTAAAGCATGCACAAATTTGCGCATCATCCTAAAATATTGAGTTTTTGACAGGATGTAATTTTCTTTTACCAACTCTGGCACACAAATTAAAGGAAGGACGAGTTCTAAATTTGAAAAATTGTTTGATGCACTATTCCCATAAAATCCCCATATAAAGTTTTTGATTTAGAGTAAAGGAGCCCGTAATCGGCCAGCTCCCGTTTTCGGCCGATTGGTTGGATACAAGGTAAAATCACTCTAAAATACATCGCATAATAGCATAACACATATCCCACACATACCATACCATGCCAGTGTCACTGAAGAACCACATTTGCAATGGAAAATATATCCTAAAATATCACATTTTAGCGATGTAATCGCCGGTCCCGCTACCCAAATCTGAAAAAATCGAGTATCTTACGCGTGTCTGTAAGAAATATGGGTACCATAAAATGAGCTTTATTTCAAGTATTTTTCAGATTTAAAGCCCGATTTTGTGCTAGTCGCAAGCTCAAAAGTATGTCATCGCATGTATTAAATCAATGCAGCCGCACACCGCGACGCACACACGATATCTCTATCTAATTCAGATTCCAACTTCCGATCACCGCTGTGCCCGTCTTCGGCCAGGCGAGCACCAGGGAGCTCGGCGTGGGATACCTGCTCCGCCCCGCTTGTGCTGTACATCAGCGCGGAAACGCACGGCGCGCGCGAGCGCTTCCTATTGACTTTGTACATGCGGCCGTAAACTGAAACGCTCGGCCGATAACGGGCTCCAAAACAGTGAAAATTGAAATGGATATTGTCATGGCAATTCGTGATTTTTTTTCTGGGATTCTTTTTTGTGTAAATAATAATAATATTTGCTTCACGATTTGAACAAGAAATGATAATAAATAGGAAGTAAAGAGTCCTAAAAATAGGATTTTGTCTTAAGTGGCCGAAAACGGGCTACTTTACTCTACACTGTAATTTTTCCGGATATTTAATATTTTGTAATAAATGTAAAACTGGTGCCTGGCTTCCGAAAGTTCCCGCTGTGGAAGCGCGGCTCGGAGCATGGAACTTCAAAGCCAAGTGGAATGTTACACATCCCATTGTTACGCTTTAGATATCAAGAATGCGTTTTGAATAAATTACAAGAGTTTCGCCTCCTTTTCTTTCACCTCCCTGGTTATATCATACTTTTTGCTTTGACTCTTGACCTTTGTAAATTAATTGTTGTTCATTCAAAGAAAGAGCATGATGCAACAACAAGTCTAGATTTAGTCGATCTCATCTAGTCAATTGGATATGTGTGAGCTTGAGTGGCCCTGACCTGAGCCTAATTTCTAAATGGCCAAGGCGCAGGCCTTATGAGTAATGTATTAGAGTAGGCCTAGCTGAGCAGGTGAGACGGTAAGAAGAATTCATTAAATTTAACCCTCACCTTCCAGAACTTGATGCCATGCTTGCCGATGTATTCTTCGTCCACGTATTCTGGTGGATTGCAATGGTGTTTTCTTCGCGCTGATCGGCATCAGAATCCCCCATAAACCAGGCTTGAACATTCATACTGGCCATCTTTAGTAGTTTTCTTCTTTATTCACTGTATTTTGAGAGCGAGACGAGGCCTGTTGTCGATGACTTACATGTAGTAGGCCTAGTATATAGTCTAGTTCACGTACGTACATGCGTACAAGCCCTCGACCTAGGCTGTAGTGTTGTCGTTGCAGTAAAATCACGTGATAGCGAACAATGATCAGGTGACGGCCGAGACGAAAATTAGAGGAGGAGGAGGAGGATGAGCTAGGAGGAGGAGGAGAAGGAGCTAGGAGGAGGAGGAGGAGGGGGAGGAGGAGGAGCTAGGAGGAGGATGAGGAGGAGAGGGGAAGAGGAGGGGGGGCGAGCCTATCAATAATCTCTTTTTTCTTCTAATTAAATAAATAAATAATCGAGGACGCGGAGGAGGGAGGAGGAGGAGGAGGAGGAGGGGGAGGGGAGGAGGAGGAGGAGGGAGAGGTTCGATAATCACTTTTAAAATATAAATAACGGTTGTTAAAGCGGAGGAGCAGGAGGAGAAAGGAGGAGGAGGAGGCGAGGGTCGATAATCATTTTTCAGTTAAACAACTACGGTTGGTAAAGAGGAGGAGGGGGAGGAGGAGCCTGGAGCGAGGGTCGATAATCATGTTTTGTTGTTCTATAATAACGGTTGGTAATATATTTATGTTGGCAGTGTGTTTCTTTAATAGTGGGATATGTCCGAGAATGGTTCGTGGATCGGGAGTATATTGTCCAGCTAGGCCTACTAGTGGTTTGGGTATCGACATGACATTATAATGTAACACGCATGGTATCCCTCCGTTCACGGAGTGGGGGTGGGGGGGGGGGGGCATCGTACAGGGGCGCTCCTGAACCGAAATTCCAATCCATTCAAGTAAATTGTTATACACATCTTATCACATCACTATTTGTAAGCAAACAATAAAGTGGGCTTTTTGTTAGTATCAATGCATCCTTCTGTTTTATACAACTACCTGTTTCTCCGTTGTCAGTGTCGCTGCATTTTCTATGTACTGCATGGTCCATCTGAATATTATACAAGAATGTGTATTCATAGTACGCAAGCTAGTTTGCTAGCTCCTCTTTAAAAGTTGAAACAACTCGAATGGCTGAATAACAACAAATAAAAGACCGAATTGACGACAGTTTGTATGATCTATAAACATTTTGAACTGTATATTAAAATCTAATCGCCATTAAACTGTATGCGGTTGCTTTGTTAGTTGTATCAATTCAATGACGCTCTTTTTTTTCCACTACGAGACATTTCTTCCACAGCAATTTTATGGGGTGCACATCAACATTATTATGCAAAATGAAGAAAACTAATTAAAAGAAATGATAGATATGACTTAATTACGTTCGTCACTCATGATGAAGATTCGGAATTACGCAAATAGTCAGAAGATATACTACGAAATACAATGATGACAATCATCAGAAGCAAACTTTGTTATGCAGATTATGATGCGCGCGCATCACCACATCTAACAAAACATACAAAGGATTATTAAAATAGACAAGTTCATTCAAAAAACATATTTGGAGCGATTTGGAGTTGATCATGAAACGCGTTGCCTTTAACTAGTTGTTTTAACGAAGAGGAAGGAATAACCGTGAGCCATTTATCATAATGTAAATTTTGGCAAATATAGGCCTATATCCTTTAAAACGTACCATAAGGCTTCTCTATCTCTCCTTTATCTATGTTTTCTGCCAACCCGGGGGCCAGTCCCCCGTTGTGCCCTCTCAGATATACGTCATTGCTCCCTCACCCCATTATTCAAGATATATGTACGGCCCTGATAACCCATTCCCCTGGTAGATATTGCCCCGATAAATTAAATTATGTCAACGAAATTATTATCCATTTATTTATTTGTGTATAACTAACTATAACTATACCTCCATCTATTTGCTTATTCGTTCCCTCAATTACCCATAATTAATCATAAGGTTTCTTTCTAAAATCATATTGTACTCAAACAACCGATGAAAAAAAAACAATGAAATCAATCACAAATGCTATAAATGTCAACATTTTTGTTTTGTTGCATTTTCGGTTAAAATATTATCGCTGATATTTGTTTTATAATGATAGAACGTTTGCTGGTTCAATCGAGTGATACAAGTACAATGGTTATCCGAATAAAGAGCAATAACAGGTTTTGCATTCATTTTTTTATTTTTCCCCTAGCTAGCTCATCTGAATCCTTTGATGTGATTTGTAATGGACCTATTTAATAATGATTTAAAGATATTGATTGTATGCATATTTTTAGAACAACTGCCCAACATAGCATCAACTATATTGTATACATCAGGCGCGGATCCAGGGGGGGGGCCGAGCGGGCCTTGGCCCCCCCCCCCCCCCGCAAAAAAAAAAAAAAAAAAGAGAGAGAAGAAAGGAAAAGAAGGGAAAGAGAAAGAAGAGAGAAAGGAAAAGAAAGAAGAGAAGAAGAAAAGAAAGGGGGAAGAAGGAGATCGGGGGAGGCGAAAGGGCCTTGCCTCCCAGGCTGTTGACCCCCCCCCCCCCCCATCAAAAAAATAAGAGAGAAGGAAGGAAAGGGAAAGAAAAAAGAAAAAGAGGAGATACTGGCGTACTGAAAGGGGGGGGGGGCTTGGGGGAAATCAAATTCAAACGTGGTTTATTTCTAATTCCACAACGGTGGATTACAAATAATGCTGAAATGACATAATTTCCGAGATTTTTCCTCACTTTTTAGTAGATTCCTACATGTCAGGCCCGAGGTACGGCGGGGATTGGGAGCCATGAGCCCCCCCCCCCCCCCTACTTTTTTGAAAAAGTATATTAAAGAGAAATAAAATAGAATGAGAGCAAGAAAGAAAGAATAGTTAACTGCCAGTGTTAAAAATAATGAGCCATCAAAATATGCTTATCTGACCGTAATTAATGCCTAAAACCCTAAACTTCCGGGGGCTCTGCCCCCTAGATTCCACCTAGGGCCCTACGGCGGGCCCTTAGATGCTCATTTGACGGTAATTTAATGCCTAAAACCCCTGATTTTTGGGGCTCCGCCACCTGGACCCCACGCCAAATAGTGACCTGCCAGTCTCACAAAATAATAAGGTATACAAAAAAATGCTAATCTGACGTTAATTAAACGCCTAAAACCCCTGAGCTTCCGGGGCCGGCTACGCCGCCTCGACCCCACCAGGGACCCTAAGACGGAACCCTGATTCAGACAAGGATTAAGAGTATAGAGAACGATACAACGCATCGTCTTCTTTCTCTAATAATTTAATATAACGTCAAAGCTTCGCGCAGGAGGGAGGGGGGATGAATTCAGACAAGGATTAAGAATCGAGAACGGTACAACGAATCGTCTTCTTTCTCTCATAATCTTATGAAACGTCAAAGCTTCCGCGCTTCGCGCGGGAGGGGGGAACCTGAATTCAGACGAGGATTCAGAGGCGAGAACGGTAATACGAATCTTTAATGATTTAATGGGAACGTAAAAGCTTCCGAGCTTTGCGCGGGATGGAGGGGGAACTAAATTCCGATGAGGATTATTTTCGAGAACGGTACAACGAATCGTCTTCTTTCTCTAATGATTTAATGAAAATTAAAAGCTTCCGCGCTTCGCGCGAGAGGGGGAAACCTGAATCCAGACGAGGATTAAGAGTCGAGAACTGTACAGCCAAACGTCTTCTTTCTCTCATAATCTTGTGAAACTTAAAAACTTCCGCGCTTTGCGCGGGAGGGGGAGGGGGAGACTGAATGTAGACAAGGATTAAGAGTCGAGAACGGTACAACGAATCAAATTCTTTCTCTAATGATTTAATGAATCCTAAAAGCTTCCGCGCTTCGCGCGGGATGGAGGGGGAACTAAATTCCGATGAGGATTATTTTCGAGAACGGTACAACGAATCGTCTTTTTTCTCTAATTATTTAATGAAACTTAAAAGCTTCCGCGCTTTGCGCGGGAGGAGGGGGGTGGTGGAGAATATTCAGATGAGGATTATTTTCGAAAACGGTACAACTAATCATCTTCTTTCTCTAATGATTTAAGGAAATTTAAAAGCTTCCGCGCTTCGCACGGGAGGGGGAACCTAAATTCAGACGAGAATTGAGAGTTGGGAACTCGACAACGAATCGTCTTCTTTCTCTCATAATCTTGTGAAACTTAAAATTTTCCGCGCTTCGCGCGGGAGGGGAAAACTAAATTCCGATGAGGATTATTTTCAAGAACGGTACAACGAATCATCTTCTTTCTCTAATGATTTAATAAAAATTAAAAGCTTCCGCGCTTTGCGCGAGAGGGGGGAACCTGAATCCAGACGAGGATTAAGAGTCGAGAACTGGACAGCCAATCGTCTTCTTTCTCTCATAAACTTGTGAAACTTAAAGCTTCCGCGCTTTGCGCGGATGGGGAGGGGGAGACTGAATTTAGACAAGGATTAAGAGTCGAGAACGGTACAACTAATCATCTTCTTTCTCTAATGATTTAGGAAATTTAAAAGCTTCCGCGCTTCGCACGGGAGGGGGAGAACCTAAATTCAGACGAGGATTAAGAGTCGAGAACTCGACAACGAATCATCTTCTTTCTCTAATAATTTAATAAATCTTAAAATTTTCCGCGCTTCGCGCGGGAAGGGGAAAAACTAAATTCAGACGAGAATTATTTTCGAGAACGGTACAACGAATCGTCTTTTTTCTCTAATAATTTAATGAAACGTCAAAGCTTCCGCGTTTCGCGGAGGAGGGAGGGGAAATCACCCCTCCCTGCACCGACCCCCCCCCCCCCCCCCGCTTTACGTCACTCTTTGTCACCATTACGTACCAATATTTGGCTCGCAAAATTTCAAATTTGGCCCCCCCCCCCCCCCCCCCCCCCCCCCCCCCTAAGAAATCCTGGATCCGCGCCTGGTATACATGACTTTACAAAGTGAATTTCATTCATTATAGAGATGCTACTTTGCGGCGGGATACAAACACGCCCACCCTTCCGATCAGCTGGTTTTTAAACTCATTTGATTGGACCACGCTAGCTCAATGTGACTTTGCACCAGTTTTCTACGATTACATATTTGCGTGTTGTCTGCTGCAAAGGATTTTGTTTCTTCCCCATGTAAATCAATTCGACAGGTAAGACATTCGAGTCATTCAGATTCTTTCTATTATTTAGGAAAGTGGATTTTGAGTTGTAATTCAGTGTTATTTATATTTTGTCAGCATTTTTAAGATGCATCTTATCCTTCATTATTGGTAGCAACGGTCCCATATATTGTAAATGATGTTAGCTCATGATTTCACAAAAACTGAAAAAGTCCAAGATGATTGATAACTGATGATGTCAATACAAATTGTTTTTAAACGAGATACAGTTTACTTATCAAAATGAAGAATGAGATTAAATGAAATATGCTAAATAATACATTCTTCATCTGTGTTTTTTAGTTCATCATTCCTGCCAAAACTAAAGGAATGCATTTCATCAGCCTAAAATTAAAGTTAAAAGTGAGTGAGTCCAATAGGCAATAAATAATGTTTGGTTTTTATTTGTTCTGACATTTAGGTGTACATCTATTATATTTAGAGATGTATACTTGGGATCTGATGATGATAACAGCTTATCAGCATTGGCGGACTGCTGCTGTCTGCGTAGGACTTGGAGCTTTGTATGCTGTATACTATCTCCGATATGTTGTCAAGGTAATTTCTTGATCCTCGGACCTCGCTTCCCCTAGCCAGTGCCGGACAACTTTCCCATTTGTTCCAAGTCACAAGATGACTATAATGTCATATTTTTGTCAAAATGTATGACTTGGGAGAGTCTCTCCTTTTTGACAGACTTATAATAAAATATTATCCAAGGGTGAAGGCATTTGGGAGAAAAACAGAAATTAATTATGTCATTTATACACGACAAATGCGAAAGTAGTCTGTGACTACATCGCAATCCAATGAAAAAATTGCCAATTCGAGATTTGCATAGCTCTCTAGTGAAGGTGTATTTCAAACATTCATAACTCTCTTAGTTCGGGTCCAATTTGTTTCAATCTTTTGCTATTCTGTTTCTCTTAGTCTTCTGCTTTTATACAAATTTAATTATTACAAGGGCATAAAAGGGTTTTAGAATTTAGATATTAAGGATTTTAATCATTAGTTGCTAGTTCAGTGATAGTTTCATAGCATATCCTGAACAGGCTCCCAGTTCTGGATAAACATTTTGAACATTAAAACTCTGAAATATTATTTGCAGAAACCTGTACTAGCCTGTGGAAATCCCAAGTTCCAGCGTCTTCTACAGACATGCATCCCATCTTTGACCAAACCATACTGGCCAACCTTTCTATGCTTTGGGACCCACCTGCAAACCGTAGGGCATGTTGCTTTCCAGCGCTTTGTCAGAAAACACAGTTATAGAAGGTAAGTTAACCTAAACATTTGTGCTAATTTACCCCATTAGCTTGATAGTTATTTGGGAAGTGTTAACGAGTTGCGATGGTTCCAAATCAATCGCAAATTCGCAAGTTTGAGGTCTCCTATCTCTTATAAATGTCCATAGTTGTGATTTATATCAATTGCAAATAAGATGCGATTAATATCAACTCTTTATAAGCTGGCGCACTGGTTTTACAGCATAGTCATATTTATTTATTGAGGTCAAAGTGTCACCCATTTAATTCCACACAAGTGAAAGTAATTCTATGACAACGCGATTAAAACAAAATGAATTTTGTTTGAGTTACAGAATGAATCCTGGTAATTTCTACGGAATAAAGAGGTTGACATGACTTGACACTGGTTGACATGAAGAGATCAGGAGGTAAAATTTACCCAATTAATTAGGGTTCATGCTTCTGACAGTTTTATTAATTCCAAACATTTTGTTCTGATCAGTAACTAAAAGAATAGAACCTTTCCAGGAAACAGATAAAACCTAGACCTATAGTATGCTTTTTATACTGATAACTCCTTATATATTATGGTCAGTAACTAACAAGAAGCAATAACGTGTAGTTCTTTAAAAAAAAATGTCATCAATTTTCAACCCTGGTGCTTGAAAACTGCAGCACTTGGCTTTATGATAAGGAAGCTATTTGTAAGACTATTATAGAGGGTAATGGGTTAGATGTTGCCATTGATTGTGATTTATCTTTAGCTTGTATTTGTCTGGGTGCTTATATTTTGACATTATACACACAGTATGTAAAGTAATAATAATGGAAGAGATGTAAAAACAGACGCAGCTATCACAAAGGAAGCTGGCAGGGTTGAGAAAAAGAAATACATTTATAATGCCAATTCTCAAATATAAAAGCAATATACTAAATATAAATATATTATTTCATGGTGATCTCATGAAAGCAGGATATTGTTTATTCAAAAATTGTTTAATTGTGCCTCTTGACAGTGAAAAACTAGGTACAGTTGAGGTTAGATCATTATGTCTGCTTTTGGGTTGATTCCACGAAAGTAGGATATTTATAGATTTGTTCATTTTCTGCCTCTAAACGGTGAGAAAGTGAGTACAGTTGATGGCAGTGAGATCATCTTGCATTGGGATGACAATCGGTCGAATGGCCCTGCCAGTCTGCCACGCCCATTGGTATTATTATCTCTGGTCTAGGAGGTTAACCAATTAATTTTTTCCTTCAATTCCATCTTGTTTTGTTACCTTTTGTCCCCTCCCTAGTCTGTTAATTTCTCTCAATATTGCTTTGTTTTGTATTACTTTGTTCCATTTTTGTTTCATTCCATCTCAGCGAGAAGCTGAATACCCCAGATGGTGGTGAAATTGTCTTGCATTGGTTGGAGACACAGTCAAAAGATGATATTACTGAGCCTATAGTTGTCATAATACCTGGACTAACTGGTAAGGATAACTACTAAATTTCGCAATACCATGTAAAATGTAGAACTTTCTATTCCAGGGGTTCAGTGTTATCTTTAAACCTGATGAAAATATTTGGGATTGCATACACTTAACAGTGAGAGTATGATGTCAAATATATTGTAATCAATGTATGGTTATGATTTTGATTTTAGTATACTATAACACACATGTCCCATGGAGCTCTATGTGAATTATTGTGGACCTAGTATTCAGTGGGTTAAGAAATCTTATATTAATGTTTGTGTTTGTGCATGCACTTGTTCATGTAGGTGACAGCCAGAGCATATATGTGAAGCACATGGTGGATGATGTCCTCCGGGTAGGATGTAGAGCCGTCGTCTTCAACCAGAGGGGCTTTGGAGGAGCAGAGCTCAAGGTACGTCAGAATTAAAATAGAAGGTCAAAGGTCACAGATAATCTGTGGATTGTAAACATTATTACTGCTATGATTTTACAAAGGGATTGTGAGTCCACGAGGAGGATTCACAATTTGAGTGAGCTGAATGTTTGCATGCTGTTTGTCTAAACCCATGGAAAGAAACTCAATTTTGAATTGTCTTTGATGGTATACCCAACGCGTAGTGCATGATAGATATCAAAGTGTATTTCATATGGATGTAGATTTAGATTAAGAGAGCTGTCACAGCCTTTCTTAACAGAAAGGGAATGAGAGACTTCTGTAGTCTCAGACTTTAAATTAATTAAGTGGTATATGTCACATGCTCCAGCAATAATTGCTCTACGGTCACTATCCTACACTAACCTTATTCCTAATTTCACCTCTGGACCGAACACTACACCTAACCAAAACCGTAATCCTAAACCTACTCAAGCTGAAAGCCATTTGCAACCCTAACCCTATATCTTTGCCAAAATAAAGCCTGAAGCAATTTTGGCCAGAGCAAATGTCAGGTCACGTACATGTTTAATTAAGATCTCAAATAATGTCACAAAAATACAAAAAGATTTTGATTTGTTTATTTATCCCTATATTCTCCAGACTCCACGTACATTCTGTGCTGGCAGCACTGATGATATCCACTTTGTCTTGAGTCACATTCACCAGACCTACCCTGACGCACCTCTTCTTGCCAATGGGGCATCGATAGGAGGGTGAGTATTTGCCTATCTGAGGTTCTTGCAAAGATCTCACCCCCCCCCCCCCTTTCATTTTACATTCTTTAGAGTTTGCTTGTGCTTGGTCTACCCGCCCACTTTATTCTCTTTTTTTCTCTAATTGATAAATCATTTACCACAAAATCATTTAGTCTATTTATATATAGCACCATCACAGATTCAATGTTTTTCACATGATAATTTAGAAATTGTCCATTATAATTTTCAAGAAAAAGGAGAAACAGAATAGTGAGAAAAGCCAGTTCCAGAGTCAAGGAGCCTACACCTTAATTGCTTCATCACCAGCTGTGCTTCATGTTCTTGAAACATGGAGCAGGGTGCTACCTCCTTTCAATGATTTGTATTTAGGACCTCGTGATTAGAAGTGCCATGTTTTAGCGCATGAGCATCGCCCCAGAATTCAACACCCACAACATTCTCCTGAGTGAACTGTTCATGATGATGCCTCCACATATATTAGTTTGTTGTCATGACTTTCAATCACAAGGTTAGAACAAGGTTGTGGGTTTTAAATCCTGGGGCAATTCGTATACACTTTTCCTTAAAGCCCCACTGTACTACTTGTAGCTACTTGCTCCCTCTATATAGAAAATAATACCTAATCAGTGACCATTGGTCCCCCATGATCCTCTTATTCTTATGTTAATTGAAAGCTGAGTTGATGAGATAGCTTCCTGTCGGGGACAACCCTGGGTGGTCTAATCCCTCTTAGTCAAAGTAGTACAGACAGGCTTTAATATGCATGGCATTTCATCTACAGTTGGGTCTCTTGACCCAGGTGTATGGATGCTTGGATGGAAAAGAAATCCTAGGATGCTGTGACCAGTATTTGCTCAAAACTAAAGGCAGAAGACTAATTTTAAAGTGCATATACAGAGACGTATTTGGATATATGCCATACAAAAGCTAACAACATGTCAAGGAGTCAGTGACACAAAGACGTAACTCCATTTTGGCCATTTTGAGAAAAAGTGGTTTACCGTCATGTGTCACTGAGCACTTGGACCTTAAGGAGTTAAGTCTATGTTTCACTAGCCATTGACTTCAATGGGGTGTTGGGGGGAGTTAAGTCTTTGTGTTTCCTAGAAATCTCACATTTTTCTGAACATTTTGATATCAAATACTCATTTTGGCAAAATATGGAGTTACATCTTTGTGTCACTGAACCCTCGACGTGTCATTTTATATTGCTCCTGTGCAGGATAATGCTACTGAACTACTTGGCAGAGTATGGCAGTCGGTGTGTACCTCTCGCTGGTGCCATGACAGTGTCTGTTGCTTGGGATCTTGTGGAATCGGCCAAATCTCTGGAGCTACCAGTCAACAGCATCCTTTATAATTTGACCCTGACATTAAACCTCATCAAGCTTGTCAAAGAGTAAGTAAAAATGAAATTGATCTGAAATGGTCCTAGGACATCTGCCCTCTGGACTACCACCCTTGCATTACCTTTAATATACAGTCACACCTGCTATAGTGACCACCTGCCTACAAAGACCACATTTTTTGTTTTCCTTATAAATGGTTTCCCATTGAAACACGTACTAAAGGAACCTGTCTACAAAGACCACCTGTCTACAGAGGGCGGTCGCTATAGACAGGTTTGACTGGATCTCTACATCTCTATAGAGCATTCAGTGAAATGATTGCAGTCCCTCCAATAACTCTTGCTCGGTGTATTCCTTTTCCACTTTTTCGATGTCAAATTGCCCTTGCCCTGCAGTAATGTCAGCTGAATATTTCCAACGCTTGTTTTAAGACATGTTTAGAGGATTTAGAATCTTTATCCTCTGAAAGCTGATTCAGCTCACTATCAATCGCTCATTAAGACAAAACAAGGATCCATTTTTAAGTCTTTAAAAAAAAATTGACAGCAAAAGAGTGACACTCTAGTTAAAATTATATTAATTTTACCATGTGGTCAATATAACCATAAAAAATGCCAGAGAGTGGGAAATACGGTATGTTAATTTTGATCCTCGCAATGAATATCATGTGACCAGCTGTGGACTGATCACACCTTTGCATCTGTAAGAGCTACAATTATATTCCTTTATAAGTACTCATTAACATTAAATGTTATCGGGCATGTCTAAATATCTAATATTTTCATGTTGTTTTTCAGTCTAGTAATTATACAAAAGTACAATAGGTTGAGAGGTTTAGTTAAGTAAACAATAATATTTTTAATGCAATTTTATAATTTTTACATTTTTTTCCCCCATCATTTTTTCATTAATTTCAGAAAAGGACTTCCATTCAAAGAGCATTATGATATGCCTTCTGTTTGTAAGGTAGGTTTTATTATGTAATTTAGGGGGTATTTCACTTAAATGTACATACAGTCATAATTTGTATTAAAGTGTACTAGTCACCTAAAGATATAATTTGTGTACAGCTAGAATGTATAAAATCAAGCCTCCTTAAACTTTACTTGACATATGAAGTATGAAGAAAATAAAAACGGTGTGTATTGCATGTTGTCAGTAAAGGTAGCATAAATAATAAGCACTTTTTTCATTATAACTAATTCAACACTTACCTATTAAACTGATGAAAATAGGAATTTTGGATCTTTCAGCTAAAAAACTGTTTTGTATTGTTTCTTACATAATTACAGGATTTGGTTTAAATCATATAATGTCAATCGTCCTTTCAACATTGATCTCAGCTAGTACCAAGTATTCAAATGATATTCACATGTATCATTAATGTATTTATTGTCTTAATGAACATTATGGATTTATTCAGTGCCATTTCTAACGAATGCAAGTATGATGAGATCAGGAATAGTTTTTACAAATTACACATGAAGCAGTCTGTGTAATCATCTTATTTTATATACATATTCCATGATTCTTACAATAATTTTTGTTGTTGTCAATCCTCATTTGGATTCATAATGTCCAGTCTCGCACTCTACGAGAGTTTGATTCTCGCCTAACGGTCAAGGTGTTTGGCTACCGTGATGTCCACCACTACTACAGTAGTTCAAGCCCTAGGGGTAAGCTGTCTAAGATCACTGTGCCAACCCTCTGTCTCAACTCTGCTGATGATGCCTTCTCACCAATCCATAGTAAGTATTCTATTTTTGCTGAGACAAACAGCCACAGCTGAAGAAATACTTCAGTGTGGATTGGTCTCAAAGATGACAATTTTCTGTTTCAGTTGAAAAATGTTTAAATAGTCAGCAGGATCTAGCTGTGTATATTGAATAGTCAGTTCACTCTCATTATACTACGGCCATGACTTAATGGGAATTGCTATACAGTGCGTCCCAGAAAAAACGAAACCGAGAAGTATCGATGTTGTATCATAACTTAATCACAACTAAAATTAATGAATGATACATATTTGGAAAGCTTAGAGTCTCCTCTTTCATGTGATGCTACTCAGATGATGCATATTTCACGCATGGGTGACTTAAAGCAATTTGAAGGGAGGAAACCAAAAAGACATTTGGCGGGCGGTACAGTGTATCTGAATTTCGAAGAAAAATGCACATTTCTAGAAAGTTCATTTCCTGCCCTTTCATATGACACCTCAATCAGGTAAAATGAGCCAGGAATAACAAAGTTCTGTTTGTTTAAAGTAATGCTTGCATTTCCATTATTTCATTAAACGAAATCGTTTTCAATGGCTGCCTGCCGTAGCAACAAAGAGAGTTATCAAAAGTCTTTATGCATGGCTGATCGTCAACGAAACGGAGTGGTGAGAAAAATGATAAAAGCTGGTACGGTTTCATTTCCAATTTGACCATGCAATTAACAACCGAACAACGAGTATTTCTGGTAACAGAATGGGGACGATCTGGGAGCCTTCAACAAGTTGCTGAGGCTTTCCGGCGTCGCTTCCTTGATCGCGAGGTTCCAGCCAAATCAAGTATTTGGCGGAACATTAGGAAATACCAAGTGGAGGGTACTAGCCTTAATCTCAACAAGGGCAGGTCGGGGAGAAGGAGGACAGTGAGATCCCCCGACAACATCCAAAACGTGCAACACATGCTGGAAGCAAACCCAAGGGTATCCGCCAGAAGGAACGGCATGGGAATTTCAAAGTCGTCATTCCAACGAATTGTCAAGAAAGATATCCGGTGGTATCCCTACCGAATGACGTGCCGGCATCAACTTTTACCTGGAGACCTGCCGAGAAGACTTTGATTCTGCAAATAGCTGCTGGAGAGAGGCCCACGGTTCATCGGTAACATTGTGATAGGGGACGAGGCATCATTCTTCATGAATGGTCGGGTAAACAGCCACAACATGCGCCAGTATGCCCCTGCTCAGGAACCACCGCTGTTCCACTTTGATCGCAACATCTCACGGGAAAAGGTGTCTGTCTGGATGGGAATGTGTGGGAATGGCGCGATGATTGGCCCATTTGTCTTTGACGGCAATCTAAACGGAGACGGCTACCTGCGAATCCTCAATGAAGAGATTGTTCCACAGTTAGAAGCGCTCTTCCCGCGCCAAGTTGATGGCAGCTTCAGGGACATTTGGTGGATACAGGATGGAGCCCCAGCCCATCGCAGAATCATTGTCAGGAATAGGCTTGCGGAGCTCTTCAACGAAAGGGTAATCGCCACCTATCATCCTGTCGAGTGGCCTCCCAGATCGCCCAATCTCACGCCATGCGACTTCTTTCTGTGGGGCTACCTGAAGAGCAAGGTGTTCACGAGCCCACCGCGTGACCTGGGAGATCTGCGAAGGAGAATCTTTGCTGAAGTCGAGTCTCTACGACAGCAGCCTCGTGTGACCCGTGATGCCATGAGAGCCATGGCATCCCGTGCAGAGTTATGCGTAGAGAGAAACGGTGGTCACGTTGAAAAACGCTGAACTTAAGCAAAAAAGTAAATGACTTAGTCATGAACCAGATATGTTAATGAATAAACAACGAAAACAAATTGAATTGAGGTTGATTCGTGTTTTTTTATAATTATTATCTCTTACTAAATGTTTGGTTTGCTGATTTGGCGACAATGTGTAAGGGTGACATTTCTGGTCGAATTCATGAAGAGTGTTTGTGGAAACAAGATAAGAAATAAGAGAGAGAGAGAGAGAGAGAGAGAGGGGGGATATGAGGGAGTGAGGAGTTTGTTAACGGTTCCGGGCTATGGTACAGATGGGGTGGGTTGGAGGACGGAGCGAATGAGGAAGGAGTTGATGAGGAGGGGAGGGGAAGGGAAGAGTATCAACACACACATTTTTAATCCAGACGTGAATATCACCGCATCCATTTAGTCAGGTGTAAAAGGATGAATAATAATAAAATAGTAATAATAATAATAATGATAATAATAACAATAAAGGATGTAATTAAAACTATCAATTAGATTTCATCATTGTTTCTCACCACTCCGTTTCGTTGACGATCAGCCATGCATGAAGACTTTCGTCTACTTTCTGTGTTGTTAGGGCAGGCAGCCAGTGAAAATGTATTTGTTTGATATAATTATGGTAATGCAAGCATTACTTTAAACGAACAGAACTTTGTTATTCCTGGCTCATTTTTCTTGATTGAGGTGTCATATGAAAGGGCAGGAAATGAACTTTCTAGAAATGTGAATTTTTCTTCGAAATTCAGATACCGCCCGCCAAATGTCTTTTTGGTTTCCTCCCTTCAAATTGCTTTTAATCACTCATGCGTGAAATATGCATCATCTGAGTAGCATCACATGAAAGAGGAGACTCTAAGCTTTCCAAATATGTATCATTCATTAATTTTAGTTGTGATTAAGTTATGATACAACATCGATACTTCTCGGTTTCGTTTTTTCTAGGACGCACTGTATTGATCCAAATTTATAGCAACTCAATTGTTGTTTTTTTTAACCATGTATTGCAATTATTATTAAACTTACATGTGCATGGTGTGGATAGGATAGGTCTCCTAGATACGTCTCAATTTTAATGCCCTTAATGAAGAAAAAAAAAGCCCTAATAGTGAACAGATTTATGTTTTTTGGAATCATCCAATATTCATTCTACCCCGGTAATCAAACAAGGGTCATGTTTTATAGACTGATCAGAATTGATTGCAACTAAATTTGAGTTCAATATTAATAGCTGCTCCCAAAAGTAACAAAAAGGCAACTGCTCCTTTGCTGTTTATTCATTTATTTATATGTTTTGTCTGCCAATTTAACGTCATGCATAGATACCAGTATAACATAACAGACAAAATATAAACCATCTAGCTTCTGTCATTTTGTTTTATTTATCAATATTATCAGTGTAATAAAGCGAATGTCTGTGTTAAGATTTGTGTACATATTGATACCAAAACTTATAAATACAATCCCTTTGACTGTGAAATGTCTTTCACTTGTTCTCCTTGCAGCCATTCCCCTTGATGAAGCTAGAAGGTCATCACATGTTGCCATAGCGATGACCTCCCACGGCGGCCATTGTGGATTCATGAAGGGAATATTCCCCAGCGGCAGAAAGACGTACATGAGTGATGTCTTCTCAGAGTATGTGAGCGCCATCTTCAATGAAGGAAAAGATTATCTTGGGCGCGATTGATCTTGCCCTGTGTTTATCTTGAATATTAAAGGGGATGTAGCATGATGAGACTATATGTCTTTCCCGTGCCTGACTCGGGCCCAATCGGTTATAATACGACTACGGACAACACTGGCCAGTATTCACGTGCGTGCAACATACGCGAAAGCGAAGCATGAGGAGACCTTTGGTCTATTTCGCATACGCTAGAGCTGACCGTTAATCAAGTCCATTTGTTTATGTGCAGTTGTCCTAAAGAAGCCTTAGATGGCATTAACCAGTATTTACCATGCTACACCCCTTTTAATTTCAGACATCTTTTTAGTTTATATAAGTGCAAATCATTACCGGTAATTCATTTCATTCATAGTTGTAATGTTCTAATATATTTATAGTTTGTGAATGAAATCTCTAAAGAAGGATCTGGCAAAGGATGATTATATCTGTTTTAATCTTACATACTAGTTTGAAATGTATGAAATTTAGTTATGCTGGATACATCAACAATATTGGCATGTGAAAATCTGATTTGTCAATGTCATGAATTTGAAGGTCAAAATTGTCTTGCACATTGCATGGGAATGCTATCTTGCCCATTCTTATCTCTTTTTATATATAAGCTTGACTAATGGATCATTGTTAGGATTGTCAGATGCACAAATATTGAAGTTGCAGTGTGTTCCAAATGGCTGTGCAAGGTACATGTCCATTTCCTCCAAATTTTCCAACTTTACACCAATCTTAATAAAGTGATATTGGTTGCTAATAAGGCCTATCTGTGAATTGTTAAGTTCAGAAACTATTAAATAAATTTCTTCTTTTAATTTAGCCATTGCTCCAGATACTTGTCAGTGATGGATAAATCCTAAAATATTAATACTCAAGATGCGGTTTTGCAAAATGCAGGCATTTCGGACCAAATATCTATTAAATGTGTTGCATTTTGTTGTACCCTTACATGTGTATCCATGAATTATAATTGACAAAATCTGCTTTTTAACTCCTTTAATTTTGCCAGCACTGCAATTCCTTTATTAAAATAACATAACCAATTGTACCTATGACAGGGTATTGTCATCATTTTATAGAAGTAATGAAGTCATTCAGGTATTCAAATACTTGGAATTACAATTCTTTGGGTTTTAATACTTTACATTCACATTAATTTATAGAAATAAAGTGAAAAAACAAACCAAATTCTATAAAGTGAGTGTAATATATGAAAATATATATTTATGTAAATTACCTCATCAATGTAGTGCAATGTATAAAGTACTCAAAAGCACAACCTCCATGAAATCAAACATATTTGTATATTGTGCCAGAACAACCGATAATGGTGGAAGAGAGAAGAAAACATGGTATTGATATTTTGACTAAGGCTAGAATTTTACATGTAAATTATGTACGGCATGAAAGATTATTATCGATAATTGAAATGTATGAAATGAATTGATACCATTATTCTCTGTATTAAAGTAAATGTATTCATGAAATACTGATAATGTGCTTAATGGAAGGGGGAATCATTCACTTGTACAAGAGATACAAGTAATGTAAGATATGACCATCAATACTTTTTTGGGTAGAGCCTCCAGTTTGGACACAGGGTTATTTTTCTATCTATTTTATGTTATGCTAAAAATTTCTGTGGCTCAGAATAGACTTGGTAATATTTTTAATAATTTATGTTTTTAAATTAAAGAGAATCAGAAATGGGGAATCTGGTGTTTGGTGGAAAGTTTGTCATGTGATCTGATCCATTAAAGCAATGTTTTTCTTAACCCCCTCTTTCAATCTCTGTGAATATTGTGTATTACCATAGGAGGGTGATTTATACTAATATTTCAACCGATTAGTCAATATTTTCATATTCATACAACGTGTAGCCTAATGGCTAAAGTTTTTAATGATTTGATTTATTGACACCCAGCACATTATGTACATGTATATGATTTCAATTCATGCTCTGTACTTTATACAAATAAATGTTAAAGTTCTTAAGATAAGATACCTCATTTTTCAGAAATGTTATATACAATATTGTTTTGTTCATTCTTATTGCCATGTGCATGTATATAATCAGAGAATTTAATTATTTATAAATATCATTAATGTGATTTTAATTATTTTGTATGAATGATTAAAATTGATGTTGCATTATAACCCATGGCACTTCTACTTGTTGTTTTATGAGTGCTTTGTTATGTATATTTGAAATATGAGATTACAAAGTCCATGCAAATCTCAAATTGGCATTTTGGCCTGCGGATTGTGACATACCAGTAGTCGCGGACAACTCTCCCGTTGTTGTGTACAGAAATATTGATTTCTTTTTATTCCTATGGGCCTTCTCGCTTATATATTATGGATAGCACATTAGTATCGGTCCTGCATGCTGTGCCTGGCTCCTGGGCCCTGCTTCATAAAACTTATTATCAATAACAAGCTACAGTTATAAGCAACTAAAATTACAGCATTTGATTGGCTGAGAGCAAATTTGTCATAGAATTGGTTAATGACAACAAGTTTTATCAAACAGGGCCCTCTTCTGTTCCTGGATGTCCTTGAAGTAAAGTCTCATATTGGCCTGCTTTCCAAAACATTACACAATCTACTTTTATTCATCTTCACAGCAACATGACTTTGAAACGGCTACTCGAAAATCAATCACATCACTTTCTTTTAGAAATTGTGTTTACATAGAATTTAATTTAATCATCTCATAAATTGGAATCAAGTACACAATATTCATAATTATGCATGCATCAGAAAGAACCAAGAAGGCCTTTAAGATATCATAAAACTTTCTTCAGAATACACACACTGTTTAACAAGAATATAATTCAAGGAATACATGTAGACACTCATCAGACATCCTGAAGCCTTTTATCTTGCACTCATCGGAGTAAAATGTAATAATGAACAGAAAGCTGAAATCAAATGGTATAAATGAAACTTAAAGAGAAGGTTCAGTTCTGGGAAGAGGTGAAAAATAATTTTGTAAGCGTTATCATTGTGTTATTATGCAAGTGTGGAAGAACATCAGATAAAAAATGTTCCCTGAAAATCATGGCTCTTCAAATGCCTTAATATTCTAAATATGGCATGTAACAGCATAAAAATCAGGACAGATTTTATATCATTTTTATGCCACATGTTTGTGTAGTGCTTGTAACTTTACCAAGACTGGGCCTAATTTCTTATCATTTTGATGATTTCAGAACCTTGCAGTACACACCAATACTTATATGCTAAATGATCAACCTTTTCTGATTGATTCCACAACTTTTCTTTCACAATGCAATCGCATGACCAGAACTCAACTTTATCTTTAAGGAAACAGAGTTGTTGTTTTTTACCCTGATGAGTGCCAGATGGAAAGCTTCAGCGTGTCCATATTTAAAGCTATCAATCAATATTGTAGTACTAGTCATCTCTGAGAATATAATCTTAGAATAAGAGGGGACAAGGTGGTCTTTTCCTGACATGTATTATTTCATTCAAAACAAGAGTACTGTAAAATTGCTTTGAACTCCACTTAAAAAGAAGAAAATATCGATAATCTATATTTTAAAAGTACTATAAAAATTAATGTACTGCCTATCCTTCATTCTAATGTCATTCAACCACCCTAGTACATGATAAGAATATAGTGGCAGAATTAATAGTAAATTTTCAAGTAAAACATGAAGTCAAGGTAGTTGGTATAATTTTATTATATCTGCTTGCAGCACTGGCCCCCTCACTAACAATTCTATTTCAAAGAATTTCCAGAACATATCTTAACCCCTTTAAATCCAACCTATGAATTTGACAACTGATAATGCCCAACAAAAAAAAGCCCAATTTGTTTATTGTGTAAATGAACGGCAGCTTGCGCGCACCAAACATATACGCATACTAAATATTTAGCATTTTCGCAATAGTGGTCGAATTCATTTGAGCCTGAAAACATTAAATGTACATCTGCATTTTTTTCCAGTCCTACGTTAAAAATGCACTACCGATGTTATCTCATGTAAAGAGCTACGTACACGTACATTGCACACTGTACATGCAAACACATTTATAACAAACTCAATTGCACATTCTTGTTAAAATGAGTTTCATTTGATTGTACATCATTCACATACCTATACATATCTGAAGTAGGTCACTAAAATGCACAAATGATTAGCTTTAATTGCATACTCAACTATACCTACATGTATGTACAAGTATGACATTGTAACACAAGGTTTAAGATCATGATGTATAGTATATGAGTTATTGCAATAATAACATACATGGAATTGCTGCCGGCAACAAATGTAAACTGTAATGTTTACCACCTAGACGTAGATATTAGTTCACCATGAAGTACACTAAAAATGTCACTGAAATTCACCATTCAATGCATAACTTTATATATGAAAACCGTTAATGGAATATGACAAGTACCTTAGCAATATCTTGACACTCTACTACACACTGTAGATTGCGGTGTTCCATCAGTTCAATTTAGGATGTGTCATCTGTTCATCAAGAGATCCTATTATTTTCCCTTTCCTTTCCAGCCATCCAGGTGTTCATAATATCCTTCAGTGTTTCAGAGGTGTCATCTATAGACCACTACATGTATCTCCTGAGTGTAATCTCAAAATAAGCTTAAGTAACACTATCCTGGGCCCTGTCTTACAAAGAGTGATATTAATCGCAACTTATTTGCGATTGATATCAATTGTAACTGAGTACATAAGAGATAGGAGATTGCAAACTTGCGATTGATTAGAGGACTTGCAATTAGATCAATCGCAACTCTTTGTAAGACAGGGCCCAGGAGTGTCATCATGGTGTTACACCCATATAACACCATTTTAGATTTGGTGATCTCGCTCTCTCTCTCTCTCTCTGCCCCTCTCTCTCCCTCCCCCCTCCCTCTCTCTCTCTCTCTCTCTCTCTCACACTGTCTCTCTCTCTCACACACTGTATGTATATATGGATGTCTGTCTGTCCGTCTCTCTCTCTCTCTCTCTCTCTCTCTAGCTGCTATATCTATCTACTTTGGTTATCATGTTATTCCACAACCCACTGTTTCTGGCCTTCACTATGCAGGAGCTCCATTCATTAGTCTTCCATTCCTCTCTCCTCAAGCCATCTCTGCAGACTATCCATCCTGATTTGGTGATAGCGCCATAAAATCCTGGTGCTGTTATTTAAAGCCCCACTGCACTACTTGTAGCTACTTGCGCCCTCTATAAAACAAACAATGGCTTATCGATGCCTGTTGGTCCCCCATGATCCCCTTTTTCTTATGTAAATTGAGAGCTGAGTTGATGAGATAACCACCTATCATGCAGTGACCTCACTGGGTAGTCTAATCCCTTCCTGGTTGAACTAGTGCAGACTGGCTTTAAAGAATGATACAAAATTCAAACCAGATTCATTACACTGTCAAATTGATCCTTCAGGGTGTTGTCTCAAGTTATCTTGGGAGGAAATCCAGTGCTACATCCGTTCTTCATCTCTCTCTCTCTCCGTTCCATCATCTTCAGTCCAAATATACTCTTCTTGTTCCGCACTCGCAGCAGTACTTGGCATTTTGCACGGGGTATCTGGTCCCACATTCGTGACAGAACTTTGGTAACCTTCGTCCGTTCACGATGTCGGCGCTCGTTTTGCGGGAATTAATGGTTGGTCTGGATGATGGGGGTGTTGGTGTTCTACTGGTAGACATGGCAAATCCACTGAAAAGAATTCAAAAGTGAGAAGTGAAATTTGTTAAATAGGAGGAAGAGGATGACAGCTTGTTGTGATAAACCATTTTGTAAACATGTACACAATTATAAAAGTCACTCCATTCTCTGAAATGATGGGACCCACTTGTAAAACGTCGGACATTGTAGAACATTGATCCAAAACATAAATAATCATACCTGAAATCCAAATGTTTGTAATACCTCACTTAAAACAACAGCTATAACAATGTGATGAGCTAGTATAGCTGACTGTTTTCATTCAGCAGAGGTTTCATGTCACAATTTTCACCATTTCCCCCCCAAAATTCTCGAAATTACTGAGTTCTAGCAAAACGCTTCACATTTTGACATTTCTTTCAACTTTTGTTCAACCATCATTGGACATTTCGTAAGAATACTGATGGTATATATAAAATTTTAAAATGTAAATATTTATTCATATGATAAAGCTTCAGGAACGTAATTCTTTCTCCAAGGAGTGGAGGGTGGGGGGGGGGGGCACAGAAAGTAAAAGCATTAATTAAGTTGCATAAAATGCAACACGATACACCATTATTTCTCCATTTAAGCTTAGAGAAAAATAAATGCCCCCTTCCCCCAATGATTATTTTGAGTCCGAGGGCAAGTGCATATATCAAAATAAAACAATTGAACCACATGATATACAGTTGATTAAAAAAATGTATTAAAGGGCGAGTGCCCCCCCCCCCCTCCCTTAATAATTCAACTTACTTGTCATCAGACACAGCCCGTAACCTGTCATGCGGGAGAACGTGATTGGGCGATTTATGATTGTTGTTGTTTTTGAAGAGAGGCTCCAGCCTCCTACCCGCAGACCCTTGACGTGTGTCGGGGTGATCGTAGTCCATGTCGTCATCGTAATCATATCTGCCACCATCACCTGATTGGTAGCTGGCCGGACTGTACGCTGCATCTTGTCTGTTGTCTCTGGAGGTGCAGGGGTGAAAGGTCAGGTCAAAGGTTAGGAAGACATCACAAAAGAATAAGAAAATATTTGAAGTTGTATCAGAACACGTCAAATTCACTAACATTGTTTATGGACAATGAAATTGGGAAGCTATCACACCATAGAACTATATCATACATGCCAACATTTGAAAATCAGAAATCTGTACAAATTATGCTATTTTTTAAAAAAAAGAGGAACAATCCTAACTCTCCTATTCAATACTACAGACAAATTTGTACAGGAAGAGGAACACCTGCATTAAAATGATAATTATCTTCTCCCAAAAAGAGGAATGTTCCTCTTTAATCTGAACAGTTGGCATGTATGCTATATGCGTCATCAAATGCCTACTGCAGCTATTATTGCCTAGGATTTCTATGACACGTACATGCTCCAGCAATTATTGCTCTCCTACACTAATCAAAATCCTAATTTGAACACTAGAGCCAACCGACTATCTTTAACTCTAATCTCAACCTTAAACCTAACCTAAAACCTAAATTTTGCATTCCTAACCCTGTATTTTCAATGAAATAAAATCCAGAGCAAACGTCACATTCCCTGCAGATGCTGTGACTGGAAATAACAATGTGTTTATTTTTATATCCCATTTATTTTGGAATTACACAAACATCATGAACTGTCCATGCAAAGACCAATATCAATATATGAGCTGGATTATTGTAATAGGGTCAAGAATTGTCTTCTTACCTTCTCCCCTTTACTGCATCCCCACTGGAGCTCCTGTATGATGAGGCAGAGGACTTTGGTGATGGACGCTCAAGACTTGAACTTCTTGCTTTTGATCCTGTGACTGGAAAGAACAAAAGAGAGAAGAAGATAGTAATGACTCTCATGTTTAGCTTTCTATTCCCTTCAGTTTTAAATACAATAATTATAACATTTTTTTTTTCTGAGGATAAAATAAACTGGTTCATATTATTACTTACACATTATTCTGCCCTCTAGACTGCCTCACAGAGTGTGTCAAGTTTAGCAGATGTCTCAACCATTTACAGACTTTACCAATTTGATTAATCTTAAGAAAACTCCCCTGGTACTACCATCCTGGGAAGTATTGTCCTGACAATTTAGCCCAGGAAATTTATACCAACCAGACTACAATCCACCACAAGACAATAATAGTTACACCTACAACAATTAACTTATCACTGGAAAACTACACCAAACACAGGTTAAAGATAAACTTGAGTTCTGGTAACACGATTGCATTGTGAAAGAAAAGTTGTGGAATGGATAAGAAAAGTTGATCATATAGCATGTAAGTAATGGTGTGTAATGCAAGGTTCTGGAGTCATCAAAATCATCATAAATTTTGCAGAGTCTTGGTAAAGTAACAATCACTTACACAGAAAGATGTATATGGGACAACACACATGATGTCGGGGCTAGTACTACCCTGATTTCCTTATCTTTCTGTGCTCATTACTCAGCCAATATACATTTTCTTCCAAAATTGTTTGGCACATGACATTTATTTGTAATCTTGAGCATTCAGTGAAAGTTTCATTAGATTCTGTGAGAATTCATTTTTCTTTTTTTACCAAAACTCAAGTTTATCTTTAATTACAACTTTGGATAATTACAATCTGAACAACTAACCATCCAAGAACAATTAAACAATAAGTAACTAACACTCATACAAATAATGTAAGGATGACTATTAACCAGATAAGTACCCAATCCTAGGTACAACCACCAACCAGATAAGTTTCCCATCATGTTTATCTTTTTGCTTATTCAATAATTTGTTACAGAGGAGACCCTAAGACTTACAAGCTCTGCTTTTACCAGGGTCTTCCCGATCGTCTTTCTTTTAGTTTATTTTTTGTGTTTATCATTGCCATAATTTTGTTTGCATTGCAAATTTGTAATGATCTAATGTCATGCTCTATGTGATATTTGAAAGAAAGACAAATATATATCTTATCTTATCTCATCTATTCCCAGCAAAAACAAAAAAAATAAGAAACATACTGACCAGACGGCCATCACGACTACAATTATCACCCAATTTTAGACTTGTTACCCATGAGGTACATGACATGTATTATCAGACATCAAAAAAATATAAATCAAATGAAAAGAAGAAACTCATTCCACGTACAAGGTTTGTTTCTGACCGAGGTCCTGTTCCCAATCTTCATGCTGCCGTTCATTCTACTCTCCAGCTCCGCCACGTCTCTGTCTGACCCCGCCCTGGTGGAGACCCTGCTCTGAGGTTGTCTAGCTGCAGCAGGAGAGGGGGTCTTCTTCTTGCCCCCTGGTAGTGGTGGTTTGTACTGTTACAGGTCATATAAAGATGGTGATAAATCAAAAGAAAAGAAAAGAAAAGAGCTATGGTTTACAAACTTAGATATTAGGCATTTTGTGGTTGATCAATACAAAACTTATTTGCCATAATTAATACCATGGAAACCTTGACTTTGATTGGCTGTTGAGCCCTGTTACCATGGTAGTTGCCATTGATGGCAAAGTTACCATCAAATCATCTATAGTAAGTTTTATGCAACGGGCCCAGCATGCTGTACTAATAATTTTTCAAAAAAATTTTACAAACAAATTTGAAAGGTTTGCAAGCACAATATAAAGAAACTATCTTACTACTCTCAGCACTACAATAAAGCAAACAAGAAGAGATTTTCAATGCTCAATGTTTGCGTTTTAGTCGGCAATGTTCAGCCAGATTCTCTATAAAACAAAACAATCTCATCATATCCTTAATCTAGCCCCATCTTATAAACGGTTGCGATTGATTCAAGTAAATTGAAACTTATATCAATCGCAACTTTGTAACAGAGAGATTTAGAGTTTACAAGGTTACAGTTGATCAGAAGTCTTGTAATGCATCTGGATAAATTGTTACTAATTTTATAAGACAGGGCCCCCGAAGAACTATCCTATAACTGGCATTATGGGTCATTCCATGGGATTGGGGCAAAAAATATGATGATGTTGATGTAACGTTGGTATTCTACTACACATGGAAGATGAAATACTCTGTTGAAGATTGCTATACAATGAATGTATATGGCAGTGCCCTGCCAGAATCATTCCTGTTTCAGTTGCTTCTCTTCCAAATCTTTGCCTAATACACATTTCTCTTTTCACCAGCGTTACATGGACATCATATTCATATAACATTACATAAACTTTGGGTCTATAATATTGATTCACCATGAAGCTTGAGTACTTGTGAACATATAGTTGGCTATGCTTTTTATGCTAAACTCAATTGTAGCAAACATTGTTACAGTCGATAGGAGACGTAGTTTCTCACTTCTGGTATGTCACAGAAATTGACCCAACCCCATGGAATGACCCTTATATGAAAGAAGTGGGATGCAGAAAACTGGAGTAAATTAAAGCCTAAATACCTTAGTTCTGGCTTGGACTTTGCCCTTATCTGCCGCGCTGGGGGTCCGTTTGTCGATGCGTTTGTTCTTCTCTTTGCACCAAGGTATGTGTCTCTCTGATGCGCTCTCACTGAAATGACGCTCACAGCTTGGACATTGCACGTAATCTGGTGGCAGAAATGATTTAAAAAAAACAAAAAAGGTTAAGTTATGCGGATAAATACATTTCTCTCTTTCCAATGCTCTCTTACTGAGGAGCTCAAATCGTGGTTAGGGTTACCTTAGTTAGGGTCTCGGAAAGAAAACAAAAATTAATTCATAATTAATCCTTTCAGGACTTGATTGATTTTAAGGGCTAAATTGATCACATGTTGTACTAAATTGGCAACAATAACGCATTACCTTTTTGTTTTGCTACGTTGGTCTAATAAAATGTAATGTCTCTGAGAGCAACTTCTATGTGTAGAAACCTAGTTTGAAAGTTTTTTTAATTGCCAATTTTGCTCGAAAATAATGATTTCGAACCTCTAAACATGTTGTCCATTTAAAGATTTAAAATATTATTATTTTCCTTTTTAAATTTCCTGGCATCAAATGCATTATGTCATGGAAGAAAAATGGATGTAGTGTGTGCAGATTATTTGTGGCTCTTTTCTACACATGCATCTGGTATATTTTGTACGGCTCTGAATACAAAGTTATAACGCCAAACCAAAATTATGGAATGCTTGTCCTGAAAGGTTTAATCTATTTTGAAAAGTATAGCTGCTTGCATCGGCGAATCCAGGGGGAGGGGGGGGGGGGGGGCCAAACGGTCTATTCAGTAGTGAAAAGGGGTTCAGGTTTGAGTTTGCCAATGGCGTTTTTTTAAATCACTGATACAATACTTAAGTTTAAAAGTACTCCTGTATAAAGTTTAGAATACCTCCATCGCTTCTATAAGACAAATGTTACACAATTCACATCAAAAGTAGAATTCATGAGTACAAACATACATACTCTCCACCCAGGTGTAATAATATATCTGTTAAATGGGTACCCGGTAGGATGAGACCGTCATTGTAGGTCAAACAGTTTTGAGCGTCAAGATACGCCTGGCTGGAATGCTCCCCAGGGAGTGGAAATTGTGCACACATTGTGTGCGGGCAAATATTGAATCCATTGACCAGGCTAATAATATATCTGTAAAGCGCTTAGAGACATCATAGATTAATTAAGCGCTATATAAAAGCGGAGTTGTTATTATTATGTTGCATTTCCTGTGCAATGAAACGTAGGTTGTTTAGTACAATGCACATGAAGATGTGTCTGGAACGAATGGGGCTGAGTTAAGAGGTATAATTTGACCCATCTGAAAAAAAGTTTCAATAATCTAAGCCTTATCGAGATATTAGAGGTATTTACCAGCACTGTGTCCTCTTTGCATTCTACGTCTAGTTACAATTAAGCATTTTGAATTCTAATGCATCTTTCATAAGTACCACTACGTTACACTGTAAATGGACTTGAATTGCTTGGATGTTGACATTCTTACCCGGGTTGATCCTCTTCTGAGCGGGAGGGGGAGGTAAAGGTGCCCCCGTCTTAATAGCTTTGGATACGCCCTTGGCTGACTGCATTGCTTCAATGAAGTCCTCATGTTTTTGTCTCCAGTTATTCTTTTTCTGCAATACAACCAAAAGTAACATGTAGTTATCATTTTTTTTACTGCCAGATTAAAAAACAATACGAAAATTACGACAAAACCACAAGAAAAAATTTACATACAAAATAGCAATGTTTATAACGACGTACAGTATACAAATTCATGCCAATAAAGGGTTAATGTGTATGTTATTCTGTTATCCTGGCTATAGTCAAGTTGCTATAAGTTCGGAAAGCCACTGTTCAAGGGCTCTCTACCAAGTAGTACCCAGTCTACACCTGGGTTGAGAGTGGCAAAATTGACATTAGTTAATGTCTTGCGAAAGTTAAGAACTTTATTCTCACTTATGGAATGAAGCATTAGCATCATATCATCAGTGGCAGCAGCAACAGTAGCATTATCATCATCATCATTATAATAATCACTAGAGTAATATTCAACATCATCATTATATCCTCAATATCACCACCATCACCATCATCACCACTATTTTATTATCATCACCATTGGCATCATCTTTACTATAATCTTTACCATCAGCATCACCATAATCACCATCACAATCATGCCATCAAGTACTTAAAGAATCCATTTTGTAATCCACCATGTCAGTCAAACTAAAGACAAACAAGTGCTTAATATAACAGAATACTGCAACAACTGGAAAAGAATATATCACCAGAGTAGGCCAGTCTCCTTTTAATTACCACATACCTATAATGCCGTCGGTTTGGAGCCAGAACAATTTATAGTTGCATTATTGATCATAATACTCTTCTCCCATTGTAAGGCAAAATGACCAAACAACACAACGAGTTGCAAATTTTCTGAATACTCACTGATGGAGGTAAATCACGCTCGTTTGTTTTGGGAACCGTGCCGATGTCTGTTCCTTCTGCTCTCTGCTTTGATGAGTCGAACGTTTTCCTCTTTTTTTTAGCAGTTTTGCGACAAACCTTTGCATGGCGTGCCTGAAAAAAAACACAAATATAAAGTGTATTTGTACAATCATATCCTCACTGATTCGTTTCAAAACTGTGTATCTGTTAATACATTCTACATTCCAAGTTCTAAATTAATATCAGTTTTCTATCATTAACTTTACAAAATTACATAACATGTCCTACTTCTCAATTACAAAATGTTTCAAAAGGAAAAGCCCGAAAGGAGTTGTTAGCATTTGAAAAATCTAAACATGTGAGAATTAAAGTTTGCACAGTAAAAATGATAAGATAGACCCTATGTCATTGAACACTCAAGTTAACTGTATTTAGGATAATAACAAATTTTTGTTGAATTATTGTTATTATAAACTATAAAGTAGACCTAACATGCAATTTATTAATGTAAATCTAAATCTGAAAATAATATGGCTCAACACTCCAAGTGGAGTAAAACGAGGACGAACTGTGCAAATGAAATAATAGAATGATACTATTGATATGCTGTTGCACATGAGCCTTAAAGTTGGGTCTTGGATGTTAACTATGGATGGTGGTAAAGAATTCCAGTCTGCAAGTGTTTTCAGAAGGAAGGAATATTTGAAAGAATCTTTGTTTGAACAAATTTCAACGTAAGACCAATTGTGTGTTGTTCTGGTTAAAAGAGTAACAGAGTGAAGCAGGTCTCGCAATGGAACTGAGACTGAGAGGTATCCTTCATGAGCTTCGAAGGAGGAAGTTGGTCTAGCAAAGCTCACTTCAGAAAGTGTACTCTGACCACTCAAGATTTGTCAACACTTCTTTGACTACCATGGTCATTCTTGACAAATCTGAGGCAGTATTGATTCATTGGTCCTTAAAAGTATAACAACTTAACAAGATAGTTTTGTTTATGTTTTTGACCTTGAATAAGCTACAATCTGTGACCTTGACTGAGCTACAATGATCACTCACCAGTGTATCAGGAAGGAAGGTCCTTCCACATGTTCCACAGGGCCTAAAATCACTTTCAATATTATCTGCAATTTTAATACAACAATAAATATGGAACTTTAAAATAGATCTCTAATATCACATTCAAAGCATTTTGAAGAAATAAAAGCTAATTGCATAGAGTGAAGGAGTGGTTTATAACGAAATAACTGGTATTAAATCTGTGAATGTAAAGATTCTGGCCAGACTAGTAAAAACTTCCAGAATAATCTCAATAAGACGAAAATGACTAAAAAAGGATTCTAAAAATGATCAAACAGTACCTTCTGGATGCAGAATAACTAGTCTAGTCCAAGCCAAGGTCGACATTGAGGCTCATTTGACCAAATCTTAGGGATTTTTTCAGGACAATGCAATCCTTTTTCTACCCATGTCTACCTACGTATGGCGTCCGAGAAGTGACGTACGGGCGTACGGGCGTACAGCAGCCAAAAAGTGGGGATACCTCCACTTCTCACACACACACACGTTCACATGCAAGCCACGGTTAAAAAAACAGCTAACATTCGACCAAATGAGCTTCAACGTTGACCTTAGAATAGTTATTAGGGTGTCTGAACGATTTTTCAATTTTCAATTTGGGATCGTTTTTCACCATTTTTGTTTGATATTTGAATTAAAAATGTAATCAGAATAATACATTTCAAATTTCAAGTCTCGCCGATGTTTCTATCAAAAGATACAGCCCCTTCAAAATGCTGAAATATTCATAGCATTTTGCTCAGAATCGACGAAAAAGACGTACACGCAGAGTTATGTTGTTTTGCTAAATTTAGCCAAACAGCTGTATCGCGCGATATGCAAGCGTATGCATATCGTACGCAAGTTGCTCAGCCAATGCGCGACTTGCAAGCTTGAGCCACGCTGTCTCCGCGATATGTGCCATTGACTAGTATGGGTGGCCGTTCCCGCTATAGAACCCGGAAGTGAATACACGTTGTAGTCAATGGCAATATCGCGGAGACAATCTCCGCGATATTGCCATTGACTACAACGTGTATTCACTTCCGGGTTCTATGGCGAGAATCGGCCACCCATACTTTCATTCACTATAAGCGCACATGTTACGATGTAACCATGGTTTGGACTGAGCGGAGCTCACGCCTCCCTAATTAGCTGATTCCAAAAATGTGGGAAGGGTATTTTCAAACTGTTATAACAAATGATCCCTTGGGGCTAGCGAAAAAAAAAGCATCTGGATATTATCCTTACGTCTAGCCCTGCTTAAGCCGCGGGGGCGCAGCTCAGGAAAGTGGCAAATTTTGGAGCTAGGATGCAAACAACATTTCAATCGCTGTTTTGACCAAGATATTTTTAGAATTCTGGGGGTGGCCCCCTATGGGGAATATGGAGAAAAACCTGCTCTTTCATATGACACCTCATTTATTGAGTTTCACCTTCAGGATCATTTGTTATAAAGGTTTGAATTTCAAATTTTTTCATAAAATCATTGACCAATTTTGGATGGTCGCGCAATGCACGTAGACCACATAGGGAAGCGTACAATCTCTATGGGAAGGGTTTTAGCACACAACATTGGGTGCGCGATCAGACACCCTATAGTTATTCTGCATCAACAAGATATTTTTGATAACTTTGGTATCCTTTTTAGCTAGACTTCATGCATTTAAGGAGTGGCTATGAGAGAAGTTGCTATGAGTGTAGTGGCAACGCCATAAATGATCATTCCATAATTATGATAATCACCTCTTGATATAACATTACACAAATCCCTACAAGTGGGACCGTAATAAAGTCATTACATTTTTTTCATGTATCAACGAGATTACATGCTGGCCTTAAAAAGATAATACATTCCTTACTTCAAAATGCCATCAATTACATTATAAATAGTTATTTACCTGCGTACTCCGGAACTTCATCCATCGTGACATAAGCTAGAAATACAACAATACAGACGTAAACATCGTATTCCACAAATCCCGAAGAGAAGAATTTGTTGATGATAGCAACAGCATTCTCCGGCCACAAGAGGGCGTAACAAAAAAGTGTTTTGTTCATTGATCATGTTGATGAACAGTTTCAGTTTAGTTGGAATTATTATGATTTGACTTGATGTGAAAATGGCCGGTTTCCATCGAACATTTTTCATCATATTTTCATCTTTGTATTTTAAATTCCCCCTGGAATAATATACGTGTTGAAATAATATCCAATGTTCTCAAATCTCAATGTAACCAAACTGGATGAAGACAAGATTAAATTTTACATACCAATTACAAAATAATGATAATTATAATTTCATTTTCTTATAAAAAGGTTAGCCTATTACTATGTCTTTCATGCAAAAAAAAATAATTCCAGTAGCAGTCTGAAAATGACTTCTTCATCGACACTTAAAACAATTTTCAACAACTGTCATAGGCTTAGGAACTGGGGGGCTTGGGGGCGGGGGGCGCAGACCAAAAAAAAATCTTGGGGGGGGGTGGGCTCAGATATCATTGAGCCCCTCCCCCCATATTTTTGGCGGGGCTTACATTTATCACTGAGCCCCCATTTTTTTGGTGGGGCTTAGATACCATTGAGCCCCCAATATTTTAAGTGGGGCTCAGATATCATTGAGCCGTCCCCAATACTTATTGGGGGCTCGGATATCATTAACCACCTTCCTCCCCAATCATTATATTCTTCGCCTTGGGGTTACCTTTTTATTGATCAGGGGGGTGTTTCACAAAGATCCTAAGTAGAACTTAACTCTAAGTTGGACTTAAAAATTATGGACAGCCATTGGAGTCTTTAAATGAAATATATTCAAAAGCAGAAATTCAAGTATTTTAAACTTTTTATTAATTCCACATCCAGAACATGAAATCTCCTTGATGATAGAAAATATGAATGATTTCAATAAACAATGAATGCCTTTCAAAATAACTTTTACAAAATATTTTCAAAGATGCTAATGGCTTTCCATATTTTTTAAGTCCAACTTAGAGATAAGTTCAACTTAGGATCTTTGTGAAACACCCCCCAGGACATCGATTTTTGTATCATTTCGTGTAGATCTAATTGGTGGATTCAAATGGATACAGACCACCCGTCCCCCTACCCCACCATCACCACCACCGCCGACACCACCACCACCACCACCACCACCACACCCCCACACCACACACAGAGACACTCATGCGTCTTTGTTCATATATTTATTTTCTACAGTTCCATTACCAGGTACAACAGTGGAACTTGGGGGCATGGAGAGGGGGGGGGGGGGGCAACGGTCATCCAGGGTGGATGATAACAAATCCTGAATCTCATGTCTCTATTTTGGAAATGCATAATGCTCTTAATTGGCAACTCGGAGGAAAAAAAAGAAATCATCATTCCCTTGTTCTATTGTATACAATTATGAATAATCTAACCCCTCATTTTAAGAAATAAATTTGAGTTGATAATCCATTCTTACCCTTCCCGAATTGGAGCTCAAATAAAAATACCAAAACCGAGAACAAATTACCTCAAAAGATCATTTAAGTATAGAAACGCAAAGGCCTACAACATACTTCCTCACATAAAATCGTCCCTAGTGTTAATACATTCAAATCTAAGATTGCAAAACTGTAGCACATGCCCCTCCCCCCCCCCCCCCTTCCCTGTATCTGTTCATGTTTATTATGTTTTTGTATGGAAATAAATACTACTACTACTACTGCTACTGCTGCTGCTACCAGTGGCGGATCCAACCGGCGGCAAGAGAGAGGGGGGGGGGGGGGGGGGCAATCCGTGAGAAAATATTGAGTTGCGACTCAACCAGCCGGTGAATAAGTGGGGGGGGGGGGGATGTTAGAGCAATTTTGGGGTTAATTTTTGCCTAATTCGTGAGATTTAAAAAAAAAAAAATTAGCTTATTTTTTCATTTTTTATTATTGGACCAGGGGGGGGGATCGTGGACCTGCGCCTGACTGCTACTACTACTTCTACTACTACTACTACTACTACTACTACTACTACTACTACTACTACTACTACTACTACTACTACTACAACTACTACTACTACTACTACTACTACTACTACTACTACTACTACTACTACTCCTACTACTAGGCTACTACTACTACTACTACTACTACTACTACTACTACTACTACTACTCCTACTACTAGGCTACTACTACTACTACTACTACTACTACTACTACTACTACTACTACTATGAATATGCCCTGTGCCCTATAGCTACACTACTTATAGGTGGCTCTACCCCCTCCCACTGATTTTTTATTTTGTAAAGGTCTTATTTCCAAGGGTAGCCATATTAGTATCAATAGTGCTTCTACGGGCCTTTGCCAGGTACCCATTTGAAGCTGGGATCTGTGAAGAGTGGAAAACTTGAATTAATGTCTTGCCAAAGGACTTTAGTACCGGGCTGGGATTCGCACACCAACCTACGGATTGGGAGTCAAATGAATGAACCACTATACCATGACTGCTCTCCCTGATATATAGGAACTTGGGCACAATATGATACATACAAACATCCAGTAACCAACCAAACCTAGTTTCTCGAGAGCAAAAGTGCATGATAGTGGCACTAAATTATTCCTGATTATTATTATCAGACGATTTCGGACCAGCTAAAAGGGAAAAAATCGCAAGGATTCATTACTTCAGGGAAATGATTTATGCCCCCCTCAAAATATCCCATTCATGAATCTTTGCCATCCCCGACTTACTACGCGGAGGAACGATGAATTATGCATGCATGTGATGCGAAGAAGGATTGAGTTTCACCAATCACACTCGGAAAGAAGTCGAAGAAAAGAGGTAGCCCAGAGTCAGAGGCATAGTGTGATGGGAAGGGGCGAGAAGGGGGGGGGGGGGTGGGTGGGTTGAATTAAAGAGAGCATATACAATGGACACAACGAATACATGATCATCTAACCTAAGGTCCAGTGGTGTTTAGCCAACCAGTATTTTATCTTATTGTCAAGTTACTGGTAAATATTAATTAATAATTGATATATATATATATATAGAGAGAGAGAGAGAGAGAGAGAGAGAGGGAGAGAGAGAGAGAGAGATTATAATGAATGAAATTAAGAACAACTAAACAAAATATAACAAAAAGATGAAAGAGTTAGACCGACAAAAGGGTCAGAACAATGAACTTAGGAAGAAAACAGAGAAGACCGTAAAGATGCGAGATCAAAGTCCAAAACAATAAATACTGATATGCAATGCAACAAAATTTGAATTTTTAGAATAGTGACCCCCAAAGAATGAAAAATCCTACATCTTTGGTTCTCAGTAAAGCCTATTCCTTCTGGTATACTCAGATGCATGCACGTTTTGTTTGTTTGTTTGTTGTTGTTGTTGTGTTTTTTTTTTGGGGGGGGGGCACAAGCGCGCTTTCAACATTTGATTTCAAGTGGTTATGCGCCTTATATAAATCTCATATATTAGTTTAATATCATTATTAAAACATACAATAATATGAATTGAGAAATGATTGGTAAATGAAAAGAATAAAATAAGAGTTTAGAATGCCGATCTACATGTACATGACTAAAGAGCATAAGCAAAGAGTTACCCCCTAGAACAAGCGCGTGCATGGAGCGGGGGATACACTACCCCATCCTTTCCCCTGTGTACCCCTGAGACTACGCCATCAAAGTGAGTCATAATCGGAGCTAAGAGCACATTTCACTTGATTAAACAGGACCTGACGACATGTTTTATTCCACGTCGTCTAACTCTCTCTCTCTCTAATGTTCAACTTTAAAGAGAAAATTGAGTTCTGGGAAGAGGTGAAAAATAATTTGTGAGCGTTATCATTGTATTATGCAGGTGTGCAAGGATATCAGATGAAAAAATGTTCTCTGAAAAGCATGGCTCTTCAAATGCCTTAATATTCTAAATATGGCATGTAACATCATACGAATCGGGACGGATTTTTATGCCACATGTTCGTGTAGACCCATATACATCTTTCTGTGTACAGTGCTTGTAACTTTACCAATGCTGGGCCAAATTTCTTATCATTTTGATGATTCAAGAACCTTGCAGTACACACCAATACTGATATGCTACATGATCAACCTTTTCTAATCGATTCCACAACGTTTCTTTCACAATGCAAACGCCTGACCAGAACTCAACTTTATCTTTAAACGCTCCGAGACACTGCCGAGATGCGAATATGTCTCCCCTCCAAAAAAAATGAAAGCATTAATAGGCGCAAAATATAGATCGACCCGAATTTTGACTAGATGTTTATGTACGCCTCGTGTCCAGTGATGAGCAAGTAAATGGATTTCATTACTCAGAGAATCAGTTGACATGCTTTTTTTTCTCTCCTTGAGATATCGCCTTTCCAAAAGCATGCTATGGCATGTACATGTATCTATACTATTTCTTGAAAGTGCAGTCTTTTCGGATTTCCTGATGTATAATCATAATAATAATAATAATTCCCAAAGTATAATATGAATATTTATTTACGTTATAATGATGTTGTAGTTACGTTTGACGAAACATATTTTTCTTGTAAAAATATTAGGCCTACGTTTAGCATTATAGCGCCAGCTAGAAAAATAGTTAGGTAAAAGGAAAACACCAAATAAGGTGTTTTTCAACATCTTTTGAAAATACATGAAAACAATAAGTTGCAAAGATGATGGGAAGCTAGATCATTACGAATGGCTTTTGATGACAGCATGAAATTCATTTTGGAAGTTTGTTTAATATATTCTGGTCATCTATACCACTGAAAAAATAAGATACATATTAACATGAGCATTAGTTTTTCCCTAACTTGTTGATTATTTTCTTTGTAAGAAAATCTACCCTGATATTAATTTGTTCTTCTATACACTGAAAGCTAAAGAAATAATAATTTCACGACCATGTCAAAATGTTGAATAGTACGATACGTTAATGCTTTTAACATATTAAACTAGGAACATCGCTCTAAAAGTTAACAAAGAAAATGCAATGATAAAAAGGGTTACCATGGAGA